CCGTCCACCTGCCGAACAGAAATGGAGCCTCAGAACACATCCACTGGCCCAAAGGAGCAGGTGATGCATTGTTTGATGATGATGTGGTGTCAGTGAGTCCCATCACATATTTGAACTTGGCTCTGTGGTGGTCAGATGTGTCAGTGGCTGAAAGCATTGGTTATTGGCGAGGCTCAGACTTCCGAATGGAAGTCAACTACCTCCATTACCTCTCAGATGCCCGACAAGCCATTGGCGCCTCGAAAAGGTCAGTGGATCCTCCTGATAGCAACGATACAAAATGATTGCTTGAGCACCATCTGGTGGCAACCTGGTCCCAAGAAACTTAAGCATGTTGATATGGGAGGAGCTTAATTTAGTTTAAATACAAACAGTGATGTGCAACCATCCTGTGGCACACGGTGCCATACAAATGATTATAACTTCCTGACTAATAACATCGTGGTGTCCCTCAGGGCGTGTCGGCACTGGTCGGCGCCTTATGACGGACACAATCCGCCACCTGTCCAAGAACAACCTCTCACATTGAATGGATCAAATGAGGATAACATGGAACGGCAACCAAAAAGTGACTCTGTTGGTGCCTCCCCGACCTCTTGCTCCATGGACGTTGTCTCCAAGAGTAACCAGGCAGGAAGAACCAGCTCTGCTCTAGAGCTTGAGTGGGATGACCTTTTTGCGGATGAGGATCTATCATCTTCATTTGGTGGCTCTTTTGCACCTCTACCACCCTTACCCCCTCGCCACATCCAAGAGATGCGACGCAGCGCCATCAAGCTGGTGCACGGCGCCTATGTGGAAGAGGGTGAATTTGAGAAGGATGTTCTGGTCTACGATCTGGTCGCCCAAAAAGATGCCACTGCTGCTATTTTGGAACGAATGATGGCAGCTAATCGAGGACCACGTGGAGACGGTGTCTCCTCTGTGACAACAGGAAGGACAATACATGAAACCGTTAACTGCATTATGTCATCACGGAGGACGAGTGAGGAAGGAGGAAAGGAGGAAATAAGGGGTGAGGACCATGGAAACAAATCGAGGCAAAGTGAGGACATCGGTGATCGCGTTACTGACATTTGTAATGCAGACTGCATCCCGGACGCACAAAATCACACTTCACTCAACGGTCATCCAATGATGACAAACACAGACTCCACATGTCACGACAAAGTTCCTGGTAACAATGGCAACTTCCTGTCCCAGTACCATGAGCTAATGCGCTCTTTCGGGGCAGAGCCGGAGTGCGACAGCATACTGGATGACATTTCCACCTTTCGGAGGCGGATTCAAGAACTGAAACAAAGACTGGTAGAGGAAGATTGTGAAGATGGAAAGGAAACGCTTGAGGAGCTGTTGGAGGAGGAGGAAGAAGAAGATGGAGCGAGGCAGAGTGTTCCATTTACAGGTGGGTTCACAGACCATGACAGAACACAACACTCCAGGTGGAAAATAGTAAGCAACATCTAGAGGGAGAGCCATCTACCTGTATAAGAGCTAGAGCACATTCATTGTTCACGGTCAGCTCACCCAAGTGTTCTCAGCCTATGTTGGTCAGTTCACCATCTTGCTGGCTTGCTCCAATGAAGCAAGGCACTCAAAATTTCTGAGGATCCTTCACATGGAAAGTCAAATGAAGTATCTACATTCAGGTTAACACCTTTGGTCACTTCAACGAATCTCACTCTCACTCACACTAACCTCCGATGATGCCACAGGGCCCTTTATCAGTGTCCTTCTGTCCCGTCTGGAGAATCTACTGGAGAACTCTATCGCCGTCAACCTGCTGGTGACAGGCATCCTCGCTCAGCTAGCGTCGTACCCGCAACCTCTGTTGACAGTGTTCCTGCTTGATGAGGTGCTGTCAACAGCAACGGTGCCGCTGATCTCCACTTTCATTCTTAGCCTAAGCCAGTGGTTCTCAAGGCCGATCATTTACTTTGACTTGCGAGTGCAAGCTTGAGATATGAACGCTGTATGGTGGCAGTGAATTCAACTCACTTCACAAACTACACAAACCAACTGTGGACCAACCTATAGACAGACAATGTAACAATACTCACAGGCATATCTTCTTCACCGACATGTTAACCATTGACCCAATGCATTTAAGATCTTTTTCATAGATAAGGATTTCAATTCAACGGAGTTTGTAACAATACTCACAGGCATATCTTCTTCACCGACGTGCGAACCAGTTGACCACCGTTCCGCCCCAATGTATTTAAGATCTGTTACATAGATAAGGTTAGCTTCCCCCACCATGGAAGAATCGACAACACCAATGCCGTCTCATCAGAATCGGACTTTGGGAAATCAATCTGAGGTGCTGTCAACAGCAACGGTGCCGCTGATCTCTGCCTTCATTCTTGGCCTAAGCCAGTGGTTCTCAAAATTTTAAGTACCGTCTAAAAAAAAAAAAAAAGACTCTTCAAGGGCAATCATAATGACAATCGTTAAACTGGTTAGCATGTTGGCTTCATAGTGTAGAGATGCAGGGTTCGACTCTGGCTACGGCCTTGCTGTGTGGAATTTGCATGTTCTCCCTTTGCCTGCGTGGGTTTTTTCCGGGTACTGCAGTTTTCTCCCACATTCCAAAAACATGCATGCATGGTAGGTGAATGAAACACTCTAAATTGTCCTCCCACATTCCAAAAACATGCATGGTAGGTTAATAAAACACTCTAAATTGTCCCCAGGTGTGACTGTGAGTGCGAATGGTTGTTCGCCTACTGCCCGATGACGGCTGGGATAGGCTCCAGCATGCCCGCGGCCCTTGTGAGGATCAACAAAGTGTCACGTGGTTAAAAATATCAGGTATTAAACACGCAGAGGAGTTTTCTGGCGGGCTTGCATCGGACTGAAGTGCAAACCTGCGTTGATATCTTTGTTTGATTGCGATGAAGATGAGCTCTCGACTCTTCTTCCTCGGTGGGTACAGCTGCAGACCTCACGTGTTGAAGCAAGGCACTCAAAATTTCTGAGGATCCTTCATGTGGAAAGTCAAATGAAGTATCTACATTCAGGTCAACACCTTTGGTCTGTTTTTGCAACACAACGCATGTCATGTGTACATGAAGTGTACCTGCATTGCACGGGGGTTAAATTAAAGATTCATTGTTTAAAGCTCGTTGTCATAGAAACAAAAATTAAACCTCATTAAACAGAGACCAACACCTGGGATACAAGGAGAAACCAAGACGCCGAGCGACAAAGTCCATGATCCCATCGAGCAGAAGCCCACAACACCAGCCGAGGACTTCACTTTAGTTTCCACAATTGCGCCGAGTGTCACAACACAGGCGGGTAAAGTGACAATGACATTCATCGGCACCAAGAACAAGTGGAGGGCGTTACTGACAATGATTGTCTCTTTCAGCATCCCATGACGGGGGATCCTATGCTTCCTGGGGTGAGAGTGATGTGATGTTTAACATGTTCTGTTCACACCCTTGAAAAGTTGCCGCCCCTCGCTCTTTAGGTTACGTCCTCATGGTGCTGCTGCTACTGGTGATCATCATCCTTCTCATCATCCTCTACCTGCTGAGGAGGGCGTCCCGGGTAAGAGTGGCACATTGGCATGGCTCATAAACGGATCAGCGATTCTTCTCATCGTTTGACGTTTCTTGTAGACGTACTCGTTTGACCTACGGCACGGGGCTGCCGGCAATCATGGGAAGGCGCCTGCAGGCAATTTTGAGGTCCTCTACTCTGATGACCAAGGTGTGCTCTTAAATATCCCTTTTCAAACTGAGCTGGTGCCAGTGCTGAAACACCCCCGTGCAATGCAGGTACACTTCATGTACACTTGACATACGTTGTGTTGCAAAAACGAATGCATGCCATGCATGGGTTTTAAACCTGTGGCATGCATTCGTTTTTGCAACACAACGCATGTCATGTGTACATGAAGTGTACCTGCATTGCACGGGGGTTAAATTAAAGATTCATTGTTTAAAGCTCGTTGTCATAGAAACAAAAATTAAACCTCATTAAACAGAGACCAACACCTGGGATACAAGGAGAAACCAAGACGCCGAGCGACAAAGTCCATGATCCCATCGAGCAGAAGCCCACAACACCAGCCGAGGACTTCACTTTAGTTTCCACAATTGCGCCGAGTGTCACAACACAGGCGGGTAAAGTCACAATGACATTCATCGGCACCAAGAACAAGTGGAGGGCGTTACTGACAATGATTGTCTCTTTCAGCATCCCATGACGGGGGATCCTATGCTTCCTGGGGTGAGAGTGATGTGATGTTTAACATGTTCTGTTCACACCCTTGAAAAGTTGCCGCCCCTCGCTCTTTAGGTTACGTCCTCATGGTGCTGCTGCTACTGGTGATCATCATCCTTCTCATTATCCTCTACCTGCTGAGGAGGGCATCCCGGGTAAGAGTGGCACATTGGCATGATTCATAAACGGATCAGCGATTCTTCTCATCGTTTGACGTTTCTTGTAGACGCACTCGTTTGACCTTCAGCACGGGGCTCCCGGCAATCATGGGAAGGCGCCTGCGGGCAATTTTGAGGTCCTCTACTCTGATGACCAAGGTGTGCTCTTAAATATCCCTTTTCAAACTGAGCTGGTGCCAGTGCTGAATAGTACCGGTGTAAGGTGTTGGTGACAGTGTTCAGACAGTCAATCCAGGGCCTTTTGAATCAGTAATACTGGCCCATACACTTCCATTAGATGACAGAAGGTACGATAAACCGTTTTACCTCGGTGAAGTAGTGGGAGCCTTCGCTCTGGACAGCAAAGGGTTACTTGTAGTCTGGTCCCAGCTTTGCCAGCAAAAAAGATGCCAATTCTCTCATCTTGTGGCTGACAAATTTTGTGACCTCCTAAAAGGCCGACAGACCCCCTGTGACAATTTCATGTCTCCGGTGGCCAACGGCACGGATGCACAATCAGAGGAGCACGGTACTGTTTTTTTCTTTTATGCTCAGCTAAGGTGTGAGGGAATTCTGACTGTAACTTGCCTTTGAAGAGCTGCAAGAAGAGATGCACGTAAACCACTCTCAGGCTTCCCATAGTGGAGACTCCGACGTGGCAATCCCGGACCACTCACCCAAAAAGTCTGAACCGTGGGACGCCGCTGAGGAGGAGCCTAACCAACACGACATCACCCCACGTGAGACAATACAAGTTTGAATGCTCGAGAGACTTAGTGTGTGGAAATAACATTTTGGGTTTCTGTCTTCTGCTCTGTTTTAGCTGTTTCTAGTGGTTTGTTAGATGAAAAGGACTTCAATGAGCCATTGCAGTTCAACCTACACATCGCTTCCTCGTCCTCGACCTCTTCTTCCAATTTTGACTGATGAGCTCGAAAGAGGCTTTTCTTTCGCCTATCTGTAACAACAACCTATAGTGACAGGCAGAGCAATCAAATGTTTTTCCATAGATGCCAGGATGTATAATTAACCTGGGTATCGACCTTTTGCCTTTCAGACAACAGAATAATAGCAATGAAACAGGCCATGAATTCACACTGAGTAAATACATTTCGCAGTAAATTGAGAGGACAGATATATTATATCAGAATGTGATTATTGTAACATTTTTGTTCATTGTGGTGCCTTGCGATTTGGCTCAATAAATGTTGGGAAACACTGCTCTGCTGTTTTATACGACACTGAATGATTTTAACCCTCTCGAGGACAGCGGTTACTACAGTGGACAGCTTACCGTGTTATCAGGTTACAGGGTGCATGAAAGGGTTATAGGAGAGATTGATTGTTAGTTGAGGAATGACGGGTGTGTGAAACTCAGCTATCACCTTTTTCGCAGCGGAGAAATTAGCATCAGGGCCTTGCCACGGTGTCACATGTTGAGGTGCGTTTGTGCGTGGGCAGCCGTGCGTAAACCCGCCTGAGCTCATGTGCCTGCCCGGGGAGGCAGAACATCAGAGATCAGGAGGCAGGGCAATGTTCGGTGGCGTAGGTGCCATGAGTGGCGGTCACAAGTCAGTGGGACCCGGGACTTTTACTTGAGACTGCACGGCGCTTTGTGAGAAGCCCGGGTTTCATTCAGGTGTTCTTCTAGCTGTCGTCCAGGTTCTGCCAGGTGTGATCTCTAAATGACTGTGTCAGAGGTAAGACAGATGATGAAACCGATTTAAATTGAATTAGTGACACACAGTTCTTCCAGTCTTCGTACTCAACTAAGCTGTTTTGTCACATGGTCACCGGGGTACAAGTCTGTGGCGGTTTCTGGCATGTGCATTATGTGCATCTGCACAGTGAGGCATTGCTACATGAAATCTTTTATTATTTGTGTAATAGGTCAGCTATCGGTGTGTGTTAAATACCGGTAGGTTCCAAACCTTAAGCTAGGTCAATTGTAGCTGGGGTCTGCTACCACTACCTGTGACTGAATGAATAACTGTTCCGCTTGTTTAAGTATTGACCAGCCAACGTCTTCTATCCATCCATCCATTCATTTTCTGATCCGCTTTATCCTCACAAGGGTCGCGGGGGGTGCTGGAGCCTATCCCAGCTGTCCTCGGGCAATAGGCGGAGGACACCCTGAACAGGTTGCCAGCCAATCGCAGGGCACACAGAGACGAACAAGCATCCGCGCTCACACTCACACTTAGGGACAATTTAGTGTGTTGCATTAACCTGCCATGCATGTTTTTGGAAAGTGGGAGGAAACCGGAGTACCCGGAGAGAACCCACACAGGCACGGGGAGAACATGCAAACACAGGAAGGCCGGAGCCGGAATGAACCCATGACCTCTGCACTGTGAGGTCGACACGCGAACTAGTTGACCACGGACGGGGCCGTCCATGACTTCTATCGCTTTCCTTATTTTCATGATTCGTTTGTGTTTTGTTTGTTGTTAAGTGGTTCTGTGAACCACAAAACAAAACGACACGTCGCTGTTCTATTGTTGCGTACTCTGACATCATGAACACGCACCAAAATTAATTTCCAATGAACTTTCATCATAAAGTTACATGTTATTCCTTCACAGATGTTCTCAACGCATCTTAGTCACTTGCTTTCCTCCCCAACTGCTAGAAAGGAAATTTAAATGTCACTTATGAATATTTAACAAGAGAGGTGATCTGTTACAGGTGACCAATTTGTCACTTTGTGTGCACGTGTATTGATTAATTGTTAATGAGAATCACGACATCACCCCACGTGAGACAATACAAGTTTGAATGCTCGAGAGACTTAGTGTGTGGAAATAACATTTTGGGTTTCTGTCTTCTGCTCTGTTTTAGCTGTTTCTAGTGGTTTGTTAGATGAAAAGGACTTCAATGAGCCATTGCAGTTCAACCTACACATCGCTTCCTCGTCCTCGACCTCTTCTTCCAATTTTGACTGATGAGCTCGAAAGAGGCTTTTCTTTCGCCTATCTGTAACAACAACCTATAGTGACAGGCAGAGCAATCAAATGTTTTTCCATAGATGCCAGGATGTATAATTAACCTGGGTATCGACCTTTTGCCTTTCAGACAACAGAATAATAGCAATGAAACAGGCCATGATTTCACACTGAGTAAATACATTTAGAAGTAAATTGAGAGGACATCATAATTATATCAGAATGTGATTATTGTAACATTTTTGTTCATTGTGGTGCCTTGCCATTTGGCTCAATAAATGTTGCAATGAGCCATTGCAGTTCAACCTACACATCGCTTCCTCGTCCTCGACCTCTTCTTCCGATTTTGACTGATGAAGAGGCTTTTCATTCGCCTGTCTGTAATAGCAACCTATAATGACAGGCAGAGCAATCAAATGTTTTTCCATAGATGCCAGGATGTATAATTAACCTGGGATTGACCTTGATTAAGAGAATAATAGCAATGAAACAGGCCATGAATTCACACTGAGTAAATACATTTCGCAGTAAATTGAGAGGACAGATATATTATATCAGAATGTGATTATTGTAACATTTTTGTTCATTGTGGTGCCTTGCGATTTGGCTCAATAAATGTTGGGAAACACTGCTCTGCTGTTTTATACGACACTGAATGATTTTAACCCTCTCGAGGACAGCGGTTACTACAGTGGACAGCTGATCGTGTTATCAGGTTACAGGGTGCATGAAAGGGTTCTAAGAGAGAATGATTGTTAGTTGAGGAATGACGGGTGTGTGAAACTCAGCTATCACCTTTTTCGCAGCGGAGAAATTAGCATCAGGGCCTTGCCACGGTGTCACATGTTGAGGTGCGTTTGTGCGTGGGCAGCCGTGCGTAAACCCGCCTGAGCTCATGTGCCTGCCCGGGGAGGCAGAACATCAGAGATCAGGAGGCAGGGCGATGTTCGGTGGCGTAGGTGCCGTGAGTGGCGGTCATAAGTCAGCGGGATGCGGGACTTTTACTTGAGACTGCACGGCGCTTTGTGAGAAGCCCGGGTTTCATTCAGGTGTTCTTCTAGCTGTCGTCCAGGTTCTGCCAGGTGTGATCTCTAAATGACTGTGTCAGAGGTAAGACAGATGATGAAACCGATTTAAATTGAATTAGTGACACACAGTTCTTCCAGTCTTCGTACTCAACTAAGCTGTTTTGTCACATGGTCACCGGGGTACAAGTCTGTGGCGGTTTCTGGCATGTGCATTATGTGCATCTGCACAGTGAGGCATTGCTACATGAAATCTTTTATTATTTGTGTAATAGGTCAGCTATCGGTGTGTGTTAAATACCGGTAGGTTCCAAACCTTAAGCTAGGTCAATTGTAGCTGGGGTCTGCTACCACTACCTGTGACTGAATGAATAACTGTTCCGCTTGTTTAAGTATTGACCAGCCAACGTCTTCTATCCATCCATCCATTCATTTTCTGATCCGCTTTATCCTCACAAGGGTCGCGGGGGGTGCTGGAGCCTATCCCAGCTGTCCTCGGGCAATAGGCGGAGGACACCCTGAACAGGTTGCCAGCCAATCGCAGGGCACACAGAGACGAACAAGCATCCGCGCTCACACTCACACTTAGGGACAATTTAGTGTGTTGCATTAACCTGCCATGCATGTTTTTGGAAAGTGGGAGGAAACCGGAGTACCCGGAGAGAACCCACACAGGCACGGGGAGAACATGCAAACACAGGAAGGCCGGAGCCGGAATGAACCCATGACCTCTGCACTGTGAGGTCGACACGCGAACTAGTTGACCACGGACGGGGCCGTCCATGACTTCTATCGCTTTCCTTATTTTCATGATTCGTTTGTGTTTTGTTTGTTGTTAAGTGGTTCTGTGAACCACAAAACAAAACGACACGTCGCTGTTCTATTGTTGCGTACTCTGACATCATGAACACGCACCAAAATTAATTTCCAATGAACTTTCATCATAAAGTTACATGTTATTCCTTCACAGATGTTCTCAACGCATCTTAGTCACTTGCTTTCCTCCCCAACTGCTAGAAAGGAAATTTAAATGTCACTTATGAATATTTAACAAGAGAGGTGATCTGTTACAGGTGACCAATTTGTCACTTTGTGTGCACGTGTATTGATTAATTGTTAATGAGAATATTAAACCCAATCATGAAAACATTTGCATTATTGATGTGACCTGATCATGCAGCACATGGACCTCACCACACAAACACAGAGTCCGGCCCAAGCCTTCATGCACCTGAACCAGAATTTGATTTGAGGCCTCGCTCCCATGTAATGACCAAGAAACAATCTATAACTTGGAAAACTCGTAAGTTGAGGAACGCAGGAGTCAAGGCAACACTGTATAATGTCTCATATGTTTCAAAGGATTCTCACATTTTTGGAGCTCCCTCATGGTCAGAGGGCCAGAGTTCGCTTGTACCTCGGGCTGGCTCCGTCCACATCAAAGACACACATCGTTGTTACTCTCCGACAGATGTCGCGACGCTCATCCTTCCACTGCTCGAAGTTCCGCCACGTCTTCGGAAAAGCATCCAGCAGGGAGTACAGCTACGACGGTGTTCCCATCACACGCGGCGTACATGACAACCAGTATTGCTCCGTCAATCCTTGTTTCATTGCCATGGTGACCGAGTGCGCCGGGGGCGGATCCTTCCTGGTGCTGCCTATCCATCACGTAAGGACACCGTGATCATAATCGGTAATCTGACAAAAGGAAGACTCGTTTGACTTTTCATCTTCCAGACAGGCAGAGTGGATCCTCAGCACCCGAGAGTATGCGGTCACAGGGCTCAGGTTCTTGATGTCAAGTGGAACCCGTTTGATGACAGCTGCATTGCCTCGTGTTCAGAGGACTGCACGGTGCTTGCAGATTGATTTCTGTCTTCCACTCTTGCTTTTCTGGCGCTCACGGCTGAATGTGTCACCGCACAGGTAAAGATCTGGGACATTCCGCTCTGTGGCATCCAACGGAACCTCACCCAGGCCAGGAAGACTTTGATTGGTCATTCCAGGAGGGTGGGGCTTATCGAGTGGCATCCAACTGCTGAGAACCTTCTCCTAAGCTCGGCCTACGACTACAAGGTTAGGTCTCAAATAAAGGCAGCAGTCTTAGAAATAATTCCAGAAGAAATCTTTTGTCTGGGCTCTAGGTCCTCCTCTGGGACGTGTCCCAGGAAGGATTGGTGCTCAGGTGTCCGGTGCGTGTAGTCATGGCACCCGTCCACCACCGCTTCCCATCAGAGATGTTGCTGCTGTCCGTCAGCTTCAATCAGGAAGGAAACCGGCTCGCAGTCGCATCCAAAGACAGACGCGTCCGAGTGCTGGACCCTCGCACAGGAAGGACTCTCCAGGTGTGTTTTTGTGTTGAGAGACTTGTGGCCATGCGTGACCTTGTGTGCTGTTGCTGCAGGTGTCCTGCAACAAGTCTCACAGGGCAAACAAGGTTGTGTACATCGGAGGCTTGAAGATGCTGCTGAGCACTGGTTGCTCGCCCTGGAACCACAGACAGCTCGTCCTCTGGGACCCGGTAAAATCAGTCCTTTTTATGGAATCATTTAAGAGTTGGACAAGTCCATTGTAGGATCAAAAGAACTTCGAATTTAATACACATTAAGGGGTAGATTAGATTCATCCAATTTCACCTGAAAGCCAAAGTCACTTTTTGCGATTAGTTTACGGTCGTATAAAAAGACAGGAAGGAAGAAGCAGCATCTTGTCTTTTATTTTGAGCAGGATGACCTGTCAGAGCCTCTGTACGAAGAAGATCTAGACGGTTCTGCAGGAGTCCTCTTCCCGTTCTTTGATCCAGACACTGACATGCTTTACCTAGCTGGGAAGGTCAGTGCATCCATTTCAATCAGTATAGGACTCACAAAGCTGCGTTAGCTTTACATTTAGATTGCAGACAGAGATGGGAAATCCAGATAAACAAGCACGTTAACTGCTGGTTGAGCAGAAGCACCTGTGGCTCAAGACAGACGTGGCTGGGTTTTTACCTTCTGGACCTGGATTTCCCATTTCTGATTGCAGACCAATGATTCAATATCACCTGAAATGGGTGTGCTGCAGGGTGACGGTAACATCAAGTACTACGAGCTGAGTTCGGAGAAACCTTACATTAGCTTCCTGACCGAGTTCAGGTCTCCGCTGCCTCACAAAGGACTCGGTGAGATGTGGACCAACACGAGGCTATTTCATTAAGGCCAATTAGATTTGAGCGACGCTAACATGAGCTCCGTGGCAGCACAGCGGTGATGCCAAAGCGTGGCCTGGATGTCAACGTCTGCGAGATTTTCCGATTCTATCGCTTGATCGCCGTCAAAGGCCTGGTGGAGCCACTGTCCATGATTGTGCCACGCAAGAAGGTGGGTCTCATTTATGAGCTCGGTTGACAACGTGGAAGGCTTCAAATGTTACGTTCCGCCCCATCAGTCGGCGCTATTCCACGAGGACCTCTACCCAATGACGGCGGGAAATCGGGCCGCAATGACGGCACAAGAGTGGCTAGCGGGAATCAACAGGGGTCAGTAAACCAGCTGAAAAATGACAGCGAATTATGGTTTTCCACGTTGACTTAGCAGAAACTCAATCTCTGGCGCCAGCAGGCCCAGTCCTCATGTCTCTGCATCCTGGCACTCGAGTAGTCAACCCTTACACAGAAAGCTTTGCTGAGAAGTGCTGGTACCCCAAAGGCCGGGCCACAGAAGCATTACCACGCTTGACCCCTGGCCTCATCGAAAAGGTACCAACTCGTAGCTGGACGGTATATAGGGAATTTCGCTAGGAATAAGCGGTACAGGGCATGCCATGTCATCATGTTGACATCGTGGATAAATACACGACCCGCCCTGCTTCTGAAAAATGACGTCAAACAAAACGGAAGACAATTTTGTTTTTATTGGTGCACTAGAAGTTTCTAGAGGAGCAGCTGGCTTACCAGGATGCCAAATACCACAGAGAGATGCACAAACTTTCGGGGTGGCAACAAGACGAGTCACAGCTGTGGACGTATGATGTTACGCCTCACTGCTGCGAACCCGCAGAGAGGCCGCCTCCCACCACTGAGGATGAGGTAAAACCCTATCAGGGTTTTTTTCCCCCCAGCATCTAAAATTTGAAGGCTGCCACCTTCAGCTCAATAAAGTTCCCACATCATGAAAACAGTTTTGTGACCTTCCCACTCAGTGACAGTGTGCAGTGTGAATGTTTGTCTCTTTATGTGCCGTGTGACAGGGTGTAGTCTGCCTCCTTCCGCCCCAAGTCAGCTGGAACAGGCTCCAGCAACTCCCTGCGACCCTGTTCAGGATAAGCGGTGCTGAAAATAGATGGTTTTCTGACCAGTTGGTAATTTTACATGCAATTGCTGTTTTGTGCCAGACGGACAGTGCTACGCTGTAATAGAAACAATTGGAATTTGCTCATTAAAAACCATCAAAGTAAATGACCATTTTCTGCACCACTTATCCTCATTAGTGCAGGTCTGGTGGAGCCTCTACCAACTGAGTTAGGGTAAGAGGCATTGTCCAACCTCGACTGAATGGAAATGTGTTGGACAATATCAGCAATTTTGAAAATATTGTGATGGGGGAAAAAAAATAGGTCTCTTACAAAAATAAACCCTGAGCCATTTCTTTTTTGGGGGGGGGGGTTCCTGTAAATTTAGCACAAACCAAAGTCCCCCATTGTGAGTGTTCAGTTTAGAATGTCATTTTGATTCTGTTTCCTCAGCTCCGCGAGGCGTTCTACAAACAGCAAGAGGAGATCAGAGGTCTCAGAGAAATACTTGACCTAAAAGACGTCAGTAAACACGGTCCATCTTGCTGTCATCGTTACCAATTCGCTCCCCGCTGTGAGTTCTCTTGTTGCCAACTGACAGGTGAAGATCGCTGAGCTGGAACAGGAAGTGCGACTCGCCAACTACCACCCGAGTGCGACGCGGTGACAGCTGACACATTTTCAACACAGAACCACAACAATAAAAGGAACATACTACTTTATTTGTGCACTTCCTGTATTAAATTCATTTGAAGGATGATGGGGAGTCTAGGAAATCAACCCAAATATGAGACAGAAAAAAGCAAAACGTTAAGATTTTATTTACAACTCCATTTTTGTATTTTTTTTTTTGGTAGTTTTTCCTTTAACTTACAGAGAGTAAACAAAAACAAAACAGTGTAAACGTAAAGGCAAAGTGGGTAGGGTGAGGAGGGGGATAAAAAGCTCTCCCCCGGACAAACAACAACATTTCTCTAGGGCGGGTGAGGGGGGGTTTGGGTAATTGGCAAGAAAAATAAAAGAGGGGTAACATTTTGCCCTGAGCACTTGGGGGGATTGATGACATCATCAGTTGGTTCATTGGGGGAGACATTTGGGTGCAATTACCTCCTGTGGCATCGCAGATTTACCTTACCTAAATGTAAAAGTGACTGTTCCAGCAATCAATGTCCAAAACACTTAAAGTTCTTCTTGCGTGGCATTTAATGAAGACTCTAAACAACCTTCTTGTGCCGGCAGAACAGAAGCTTTAAGTCCTGAGAAACTTTGGGATGATGTCAGTGACATCGGACACAAATCTGAATCATGTCCTGTCAAAACTTTTAAAGTCAACTTAACTTTCTGTGCCAGTTTAAAAAAAAAAAAACAGAAAAGAAAAAAAACGCACAAACACACAAAAAGATTGACGTGTCATCAATGGGAGGGTACCACTTGGAGAAATGGAATGCAGCCCGGGAGGTGCCGAGAGAGAGGTCAGATGGGAATTAATCATCGTCTAAATCATCTTCATCATCATCTTCAGGGTCCCTCTTCCTCTTTTCTCCTTTGGCTGGAGATGAGCCTTCATCTGCTGGGACAACAAAAAAAAGAGTGTGGGTGGATTTTTGTTTGTTTTTTTTTCTTTTTTTGGGGGGGGGGGGGATGCACGCACGCACCATCATCATCCTCATCGTCCTCTTCATCGTCAACATCTTCGTCACTGTCAACATCTCCGTTCACGTGTCCGTCCTTCAGAGAGACGACATCAAGTCAAGTACAACTTTGTCAAATGTGCAGCACAGAGGAAATTTCCTCCCTCTTAAACAGACAACAGATAACAAGAGGAAATAGAGAGAAATCAGAAATAGAGGTTGAAAGTGAGGATTTTCCGGTACACTTTTAATCGCTGAATTGAACAAACACATAATGAGCACTTTCGAATATGCGCTGCCTATAGCCACGACTCAAGCCACAAATCTGGCCAACAGGTTAGCAGCACTCATTTGCTGATGCTCACGTCACTTACAAGGCCTGGCCCCACCATTTGAAGCCACACACAGCATTTTTTATTTGTTTTTCACAGCTTAACTGTATTTATAGAGCACCTTAAAAACAACCACCGGTGTATATAAAGTGCTGTACATGGAGTAAAAAATAATTCATCAACAACAACAACAAATTAACAACAAAAACAGTAGAAAGCACAAAAACACTAAAACTACAAATCAAGTGTTGGGACTTGGGGCGGGGCTGATATTTAACCCAACATGCACATTTTAGTTATTCAAGGAAAGAATTGTTGAGTCATTAAAGTTATACTTTAGTAAATGGATTGAAATGGCATGCTTTTTAACTCTTATTTTGCATGGATGTCTCCTTATGACAAAACTAAATATACATATTTAGGATTATTTCCAGAATTGCCCAGTTAAGCGTTCTAAGGCAGTTTAATTTCCAATAAATTTCCAACCCCACCGCCTCGTTCAGGTTGTGTGCATTCACCTCATCATCACCACTGTCGTCATCTTCATCATAGTCCTCTACAGCCACAATGTCCTCTTCATCCTCCTCTTCGTCCTCAAAGTCTTCCGATTCGCAGCCTGGAGTTTAAAAATAAAATTAACGGCCTGAGTGGGCTGAGTCGGTTAAGGTGCTGGAGACGAGGACCTGAAGTCTCACCTTCATCATCGTCGTCGGGTCCATCCACTTCACCCTCAGAGTCGGACCCCTCACAGTCATCGATGTCAAAGCCGTCCAGGTATGTGAGGTTGGGGAGCAGCTTGAAAATGGACTCTCTGTAGTCAGCCAGGTTGGTCACCTCGCAATTGAAAAGGTCCAGACTCTTCAACTGAGGCAGATTTTTCTGATGGGGAGGGGGAATGCACAGGCCTTTAGGAATTGGGTTATAGCACCTCTGATTTAGCTTCCTCGTTAGACCTACCAGTGGCTCCAGGGTGCTTATGTCTTTGAACTTGTTGCCACTGAGGTGAAGATGCTTCAGGCTCTTGAGCCGCTCGGCCAGAACCTCCAGACCCCCCGATATCCTGTTGTCGCTTAGCTCCAACTGCAAAAATCCAAGCAGACTCAGTTTCTCCACTTTTAACAATGTGGCACCTGAGAACAAATACATGCAGATATATGCGCCCACCTTCTTCAGTTTGTCCAGTTTTGGAATATCTTCTAAAGTGGTCAGACGCACATTGATGAGGCTCAGCGTCTCCAGATTGCAAAACTCTTCTGTGATGCCTTCAATTCTCCCGTCAACGGCACGACAGTTGTCCAGAACTAACTCCTGGACCTGAGTGTGATTGAACCAACAGGGTGGTGAAGCTATACTGAGGAACTAAGAAACACTTGAGCTATTTTTACTTTATCTACGCACAAATACTGATACAAAAAAAAAATACATTGAGATATTGTGGTATTTTACTAGTGTTCCAGTACACGATGCAACCCTAATGCTACCACGGCTTAAGAGGGGCCCCAATTATTATTTTTTTAACTAGGGGCCGCCATACCCAATTTGTCGTGTCACTGGGTCACGCCCCTTAAAGATAAACACACAAATACTGAACTTTTACAGTAATTACTACACTTTATACAACCACTTTATTTCTTTACATTCTCTTCTGTTGTGATTTAACGCTATACAGTGCTATTCTCCTTTATTAAAATGTAACCAATTCAACGCAAAAGTCAAGGAATCCCTGTGCTTGGACAAGCCGAAAGTCACAAACAATCGTTGCTAACCTAACCCCGTTCGAGCTAATATTTATTGGTACTGCAGGCGTGTACAGATTTAGGAGGCCAAAGTAAGGTTGACGTTGAGGTCAGACTTGGAGAGAAAGTCAGGTCTTAGTATTCGCAACGAAGAACCTTTCGACTAGCTGATGGCTAGCGTTAGCACGCCGTTAGCTGCGCGGCGTGACCTCGCCACGGAGCCGGGCTCCGACTAATACTTGGAACCGTCCAACAACAACGCACGCAGTCATTAAAACGGTAATGGTAGTTAAAGAAAAGTCTACATTAGCATACTAAAACGCGATAGTTCTATTAGTTTGCATTCAATATCGCGCCGCAAGTTATTTTCAACTTCGCTGCTATTGATGTTTCGAGCACGTGTGCTTCTGCGCCGATTGGCTTCATATATGTTCGAGGGTTTGTTTAAGTTTAACATAAGCCAAGTACACTACACACCGATGTAGAAGTTGTCTCTGTTGGACACAAAAGTTGACAAAAATGTACACGCGAAACACACACGCCGACTACAATAAAGAACATGGCGCCATGTGTCTGCACGGCCGGGTCATGAAAAGACATCGGCTTCCAAAGCAAGGGAAATTCAGCGATTTAATTCCTCTTTGCTCCGGAATACCTGCCTCAGCCTGGCGCATTATTTGCACATTTCCATTCCGTTAGGACTGTTTCGGAATGCTGAAGGAGTGCGCCATGTGCTCGTCAGCCTCACTCCGGCTGTTTTGTTGTTTTTTTTCCGCCACAACGTCTGCAAACTCAACAGTAGAAGCCGAGACTTACGTCTTTCGGTGACCGTTGCTGCAGCTCCAATGATAGCCTTTGGTTTAAGTCCATTTCCTCCGGTTTTGGATTCAGTTCGGGTCTCGGGTTCGACCAACTTGTTTGTCCACGATCCTCTCTGGTGCAAAACACACCGGATGAGTGCGAAGGGTTTTTTTTTGTGGGGTGGGGGGGCGCAACGGAGTACTTCCGGTGGAGACTTTCAAACGATTGGAAAGCAGAGCTCTGAGTGTAATTTAAAATAAAATTACAGAAGAGTACAACTTATTCAGTTGATATCTGTGCAGAAAAAAAACATTAATACGTTTTCTGAAAATCATCACACGTTCTTTATGTGTGTTTTCTTTCAGGTCATATTCTTTTAATTTGATTGATGTAATACTTCCGGTGTGTGATCGTGTCGCGCCATTTCAACTTTTGACTCAATGCTACGAGTGAAAAAGTGGGTCAGACGTTTACTGCCCTAAATGTCGTTTGCTATGTCAGTTATTCGAATGCATTTCCATGTTAACCGTCTGTTTTCTGAACCTAACTAAGACACGATACGTGTGGTGGCAAGACCTGTCATGTAACTCAAATGTTAATTCGCTTTAAAATGGGTTATTTGGGGTCGATTTTGTTGACTTATTCTTTCAGTATAGAAGTGCCTTTCTCTTGAACGTACTCCAACACATACACGTAACCTCTCCAAAGTGCACATTCGTCGAAAAACGATGACTTTACGGAGCTTTTTAAGACTACAAATGTCCGACTGTTTGGGGGTGACCGTAAATGCGTCAGAAGAAAGGAGGGAAACGGAATCAGGACGAAAACAAGGGTCCCCCCCCCCCCCAAAAGCCTCCCAGTGGGCACATCTGCAAACTACATGATAATCGTTTGATTTTCAGTCCAATGTCGATAAGATGTACATGGCTTTATCCTTCCACTACTGCACTGACACTCTACATGCATTTATCTATATTTAGAAACGAAGATTAATTTTACAGGATATTTAATGGGACTTGTTTCCTTTAGTAATAATAGTGAAAAACGGTCGTGTTAATCCTTTATTTTCAGTACATTGCAGGTCTTCTCACAACAAGCAGATATACATAAACTGGTTGTATATATCATCATCATCCAATACGAGGAGAGCAACAGTTAGTATTACAGGCTAGCGTCGACCACACCTCTTCCACCCAGTGGCTCCAAAGTATGCCACAGGTGTATACTCTTTCACGTGAAAAAATAAGACACAGGAATAAATAAAAATAAATACAATAAATAAGGTACACGTAGCTCAGCAGAAGACACCAGGCAGGCATGAGGCTATTTTATACAGCCGCAAGGCAAAGCAAGGTCACATGATCATCAAATTCTAGTCTGACTGGCAAAATACCATTGCATACATCTTCAACTATGTTTACTCAAAGCGATGACGTGACGTGACGTGACGACGAAGGCCGCACGGGTCCCTCACTGAGGTCAAAATACACACCGCCATCGACAAAGACAAAATCATTGAAAAAAAACCTCTCAAAAAGGGTACATGGAGGTACGCAACAGAGCATCAGGCCACCATGACGCAAAGCATGCATCTCACAAATGTAGATTATCGAATTGGAATATTCAATTTTTTTTATTGCCCTCACAGTGAATAGCTGTTCATATCGAAAGCGTGTTGTGTTTTATGCAGGGTCAGTTCTCAAGAATATCAACTTGTGCTTCACTAAATCAGAAGTGGTAAAAGTACTCACAATCTGTAAAGATTGGTAAAAGTAGAAGTAGTGATTAAAGTAAAAAAAGTGCAGACTCTGAAATGTCCTTCAGTACAAAAGGAAAAAGCTAGATAGTGTTGGCTCGACATTTATGCGATCAGAAAAAGGTAGTTTGACTTTTATGCCCGCAAAGCAACATGATCCTATTGCTTTGCTAACATGGATGAATCAACTTACAGAACATGCTAAATTAGCTGTCAATAACCAATGGAAAAACACCTCTTTTTTAAAAGATGAGACAGCATTTTCCAACACTAGAAGCTGGTAGTTTTTGGGCAGGCACAAGTCAGAACGTGTGTGCCACTAATCATTCTTGAAGTCAAACACATTAACCAATTCCCTCTCCAAATCTGTCCGTTTTTCATAACACTCCAAGATTTCAGTCAACCGAGATCTCAGAATGCCGTTTCCTCTGTCGATTAACCTCATAGCATCATCAGTGGAGGTTGAAAAAAGTAACAAACCTATTTTGACAAACCAAGGAATGGAAAGTCTATTGTCATAGCTCTTTTTAATGGAGAGTGAAAAATTGAATTTATCAGATCAACAATTGTAAAAGGGGAATTTTCCAGTAACAACCGCAAGCAAGATTCAAATGTAGTCTCATTTTACAGTGCCGTGCAGTCTTATGAAACTGTCTGTTGCATTAAATAGTCACAGAGAAGGCAGCCAAGCTTCAATAAAACAGCGCTAGCAATCGTAAGCTAGCATTAGAATTGTAAACAAGCTGACATTAGCCACAACTGCTATATTGATAGCATGACTTATTCATGATAGTGTTAGAACAACAATAAATGTTTTGGAATGCAAAATCGATTACAAATCAAAAAGATCCCGAAGCCCAAGCTTTCAGTTCAATGTGAAGTTGCAAGGGGTGTACGTGGTGGTTTCATAATTTAAAAAAAAAAAAAAACAGCAAAACTCCCCATTTCAGCAAAAAGCAACATAAGTATAGAAGGAAGCATTTGTACTTTGTTCCATCCCTCCACTGTGTTAAATACTCACTGTGTGAACACATTCGCCTTTACGGACCGGCGTTGCCATTGAATACAGTTTCTTTAGCAGGGCTGAACTCTTGTTTCGATTCCTTTCGGTGATGTGGAGGACGCCGGCATGCACACAAGACGACCACATACGAGCACAATGGACGCCATTGAGTGGCCCCACCATGGGAATATGCAGTACAGTACACTCGTGTGGTTTGCATTGCTGTTTAGGTTGAATACACCGGATAGATACTGACTGGTGATGTTTAACAAAGCCACGACTACTGCCTTTGCCACTAAATCACTCACAATTCACAACTGTGATCTTGTGATGTGTAACTCCAATCAATCAATCAATCAATCAATCAATCAATCACGCATGCAAAAGCCACATAAAAAGTCAACAAGCAGCCTCTTAACACAAACTTGGAAGTGTTCGCCTAATCCCATCCAACGCCCCTACTTATTTTTTTTTTTTACTTATTGCTGAGCAGCTGTGATCCCATGATGCATTGCTGCTCCACTAGAGGGGCTAGCTCATGCAAACAGCCCAAAGTGGTGTGAGAAGGAGGAAAAGAAGACAAGGCGAGAGCCATGCGAAGGCGCCCTGACAGGAACAACGCAAAGAAGACAACACACATACTCAACACACACACACACACACACACACACACACACGCAGTGCGACTACCCCACTCGGTAGCGGCGCTGCTCGTTGGCGTGAAGCACCAAGCCAGCAAATATCATGTGGTCATTTGCTCGCTCCCTTCGAGTTCCGCAGCCTCGCCTTCTCCCACATAAACGCAGTCGCACAAAGCACAGCAAAAGAAGACACGAAGAGGATGCTAAAACAGGACCGTGGCGATGGCCGTGTGGGTGGTCGGGGCCTTAATGCGGGAGCGGCACCAAGATGTCGACATAGTTGATGGGGAAGAAGCCCGAGTGGCCGTGGATCATTCCCTCGTACCAGTTGTCATCGATCTGATTGGTCAGCGTGATGACATCGCCCTCCTTGAAGCCCAGCTCGCCCTCGTTCTCCGGCTCAAAGTCGTAAAGCGCCCGGCAGCACGGCTGGTCCAGTGGGGCTACGAAACACGCGCAACAAACATCAGAGTTCCACAAGCAGTTTTCAACACTTTAAACTTGCAAACTTATTAGACCAGATTGTATAAGCTATTTAAATGGACAACGAGTCAATGCAGCTCCTTAAAGTAGCAGCTGTTTGAAGGTTTACAATTACCCTATCATTTATGCCGATGTCCATTAGCCACTGAAAGGCGCTTTGCACGATGTTAGCATTAAGGTAGGAGACTTTTGTTCAGTCAAAATATGTGATAGCTAACTGTTTAGCAACCATGGTGACCCACCTATTTTGGTTGCTTGCTAAGTGGAACCTAGGTAACTGTAGGTACCAAAGTCGGTACATTGGTTTCTAAGTACAGTAGTTATTGTAAGTAAGTACCTACCTAGGTGCCAATTTATCTAGATACGTTGCGAGATTATAAGGTATGTAGGTAGGTACCAAGGTAGGAACTATGGCGACCCAACTACTATAGTTCCTAGGTTGGTTATTTCATTCCAAGGTATGTATCTAAGTCGGTAAATTGGTATCTGGATAGGTAGGCAGGTATATATTAATTTTTGTACCTGGTGATCTTCCGGGGGATTTAGCAGAGTGGAGGCCACCATTGTGGCTCTCACTGGGTGGGAGCAGCTCCAAAGTCATGCGCGGTTTCGGAACAAACTCCTTCCTGGGCTTACTGGAAACTTCCTTTATCCTGAAGGTTGGAGGCTTTCAGAAGAATAACGACGAAAGGTCGGAGGTCGTTGTTGCCTACCTGTCGTCCATCTTACTGGAGAGCTGCTGAAGGATCTGAGCGGTGCGACTGTGGTACTCCAACTGGGCCTGGACCAGCGCCGCCAACTGGCTCACCTGCTCAATCTGTAATGCAATTAGACTGAATCTCACTTCTCGCGGTTGATGTACAGTACTGGCCGCCCCTGGTCTAATTTCAAAGTCATCCACAGACGAGGTGGAGGTCTTACGTCGCTCTCCAGAAGGTTGAACATGCTCTGCTCTGCGATCTCCTTGCTCTCATCAAACTTCTCCAGAGCTTGTTTGATCTCGTCGTCTTGCACTTTTCCTTGACGCTTCTTCTTGTAGTCGAAGTCCAGACGGCGACCTTCCATCTTCTTCAGGTGATGCTGAGGAGGGGCAGTGAGAGGAATGATGCATGAGTGCGTATGTGTGTTGGTTGTGATCACCTTTGGCTACCTTGTACCGCTCACCTGGATCTCTTTCAAGTCTTTGTCGTGGAGGTTCTGCAGCGGATCGATGAAGTTCTGTTTCACCTCCATGTCCAGAGCATCTTTCACCTCGCCTAGCTCCTTCATGGCCTCACCCGCGTCAATGAGTGCCAGGCCTGGGTGGGGTCGGACCAGGGTGAGGTCAAGAAAGATGAAGGGGAGGAGGATGACGAGGACCAGGATGAAAAGCATAAAATGCGAACGATACGAAGAATGAGCGTGAGGATGTGTGTAAGGATTATGAGGACGGTCGTTGGTTGAGAAAGAGGAGATTCCTTACCAAAGCAGGATTCCTCCCCGAGTTCCCGTCCAAACTTCAACATGGCGTCTCCCAGAACAGACTCAGCCTGTGGGTATCCGGGTCCCTTTTCCTGGCCCCGGATTTTGGACATGGTATTGATCATGCTGAGCTTGGCTCTGGAAGCCGGGTTGGGCTGCAGGTACTCTGTGGTTTTAGTCATGATGTCCAAAACCGCTCGGCTGGTCACGTCCACTTTCTTGCAGGGACACACACACACACATCAGCACTAAAGATACTCGCGTCTTGTTGTCATCTTCATCACGTCAATGCATTTACCTTCTCCATTTCTTTAAAGTCATCGTCAAGCTTGGTTCCTTCGGCGCCGCCCACCTTCTCGCTGACTTTCTATGGAGAGCATGAAGAAGAAGAGTGTATGGACAGAGATTGCAAAGATGTACACGAAGAGAATGAAGAATAACACAACTGAGCTGCAGTGGGTCACATGACCAGGGGGTCAAATAAAACACACCTCTCCGACTCGAGGCCAAAAATAAAAAAAAGCGCATCAAGACACAAACATGCGGCGTGAGGATGCAGTTACCATGGAGATACAGCCCTTGGGCCCTCCTCATGTTACATAAGCATCTCCGGAAGTTATTCCATCTTGCCCTCCTCAGGCGAGGCCTCATAAGTATGTGTGTGTGTGTGTGTGTGTGTGTTTGTGTGTGCATGCGTTTGCTCTAGATGTGGCTCCACATCAGACAGGAAGTGGAAACACACGACTGCAGAGATCTTCTATGATGACAGATGAGCACCCCATCAATTTTAATTGCAAGTCAACACAAACCTCAACATGAACGCACACTAACGGCACGTGTGATTCCCTCAAGGTCCATCAATTATTGACCTGGCCAACCGCAGCGGATGTTGCATTCGGCTGCCCCTCACACGTGTGTGGTTGCCATGGTAACGCCAGGGGGGGGGGGGGGGGGGGGGATTATCCATGTTGGATTCAAGAGCCCGCCAAAACAAAAGGCTTTTCAGCTTGTTGTAAAATAAAGACTGCTGTGCCATTGTGAGGATGGTATCCATGGTGACCTGGCAACAAATTAATTTGGGAATAATATGGCATAAAAGATGAAGAGAAATACAGTGGTGCCTTGACTTACAAGTGACCCAATTTGTGAGTCGGACTCCAACTATATTTGTGAATCAAGGAAGGGATGGATAAACATAATAATGTATTGTACATGTGAGATTAAGGCATTATGTTTGTCGTCATATGGTCACCATTCTCGTGTACTACTGTAGCATTGGTGACTTTTGAGTTTGTCTGCCTTTTAACTGTGTTGCCAACTTTATTCATAGAGCACTTTAATTATCCTGATAATTTGAAGTAGGTGTGTTAGTGGAGGGAAACATTGAAAAAAAATGCAGGATAGGGGGCCCACGAGGACCGGAGTTGTTGACCCCTGAGCTAAAGCGCTCTATAGCGCTACTACACCTTGTGACATCACACGCAAGGCCACATTCTTTTAAAGCACAGGTGTCAAAGTCAAGGCCCGGGGGCTAGATCTGGCCCTCCACATCATTTTATGTGGCCCGCGAAAGCAAATCAAGCATGTCAACTTCCATGATGCTTCCTAAAGTCTGAACCAAAATTCCAAATTGTCATATCTAATCCATAACAACAATATTTGAACAAGCCATTATTTTTGACTTCTGATTTCAAAACAAGCTATCCATCAATTTGTTGTTCGCTGTGTATGTAAAATGTGGAGGTAGTTAAACATTTATATGGTTTTACAAAATTCATTGTCATAACGGCCCTCCGAGGGGAAACCGTAACAACAATGTGGCCCGCAACAAAAATAAGTTTGACACCCCTGCTTGAAAGACACATGCATCCAACACACATATTCTACACAGATGTAGTTATACTGTATCAAACGAGTCAAGGCAAAGGCCTGGCAGCTTTCCTTGCCCTTCTGCTCATGTTTTATTCAGTTAGGTGACTGAGGTGTCACGTTTCCCACGTCTGATGATGGCGGCGGCTACGCTGTGGCACCTCAGCTCTAACGTAAACCAAAACCCACACCCACACACCAACATACAGAGATTTGTCCCACTTTCTAAGCACCTCGGTGGGAATATCCACATTTACTGTTTGCGGCTGGGAAACGGGATTATGGGAGTGATGTGTTCAAAGGACACGCACACACACAAAACGTGGGCAGGGTCAAAGGTTCGATACGGACGTTTGGGGGTGCACATCTTACATTGGGATGGGGCTGGGAGTTGCACTGGGGGTGATGGAGGGGACGTGTAGGAAGGAAAGATGCTGTGATGGAGGATGCAGGGAATTCCCTGTTGTGTGCAGCAACTGCCAATCAGAGACGCCGTCTCAAAGGCCTCGCTCTTACGTAACTTTACATCCCACCATGCGCGTGCCAGTCACCCCGAAAACATGCTTCCACACACGCGAACACGCACAATTTCTTTTAAAATGATTAACTAACTGCAAGAGGGCCACAAGTGTGTAAGGAAATGGAGAGAAACATGGAAATTTGCTTGGAAGGCAACCCGGCGGGCGCGTCGTGTTTATGTCTGGATGTTGGCGAGGATGCTGGAGATGCGCGCGCACGACGCCGTACCTGCGTGGCTTTGTGGAACTGTTTCTTCAACCCCGCGACGGACATCTTCGTGGCTCCAAAATTGACTCGAATGCGAAGAAAAGACGTTGACGGACGAGACACTCGTCCACTTGGCGCCCACTCGTGATGAGGATTTCACGCAGCGAGGGAGCTGCCTTACGTTCGCTTTGCAGTCCACAGAAGAGACAAGAGAGGATGAGGAGGAGGTGGAGGAGGGTCCGTCAAAGATCGTCTATTACGATATGGTTTGCCGAAGTCGTGGATCCACGCCTCTTTTTGTGCTTCAATCGAGCTGTCATCTGCATAATATAAACGATCTCTGCAGCAACGCTTTTTGTTTTGGTCTTGTTTTTGTTTTTCTTTTGTTTGTTTTTTTTAACCCTCATGTTGTGTTCGTTTCGAGTTGAACAATTTTGTGTTCCAGGTCAAATATGCCCGTTCCGCTAAGGGTCACCTTAAAAACTGAATTCTTACATATTAACACCCCTTGTTGTGTTAGATATTTTAATTAATTGAATTTCTAACGAGTAACACCACTTTTGAACTTCTAGATGTTTTGATTGTCTCGTGCGCCTTGTTGAACTGAACTTATGTACTTGAAAGCAAGTTATAAAAAAGCAGCTTCTTATTGTATTATATATCGATTCATCCATCTATTTCCCTATCTGCTTTATCCTCACAAGGGTCGCGGGGGTTGCTGGAGCCTATCCTAGCCTTCTTTGGGCAGTAGACGGGGGACACCCTGAACTGGTTGCCAGCCAATCACAGGGCACACAGAGATGTACAACCATCTGCGCTCACACTCACACCTAGGGACAATATAGAGTGTTCAATCAGCCTGCCATGCATGTTTTTGGAATATGGGAGGAAACCGGAATACTCTGAAAAAAAACACGCACGAACGGGGAGAACATACAAGCTCCACAGAGGAAGGCCGGAGCCCAGACAAGAACTCACGACCTCTGTATTGTGAGAATGTACCAACCAGCCTGCTTATAAACCTTTTAAATTATTTATTTATTTATTTATTTAAACTCTGTAGGGAGGCAAACGACAGACAGACAGACAGAAAGGACGACAGAGATTCCAAACCCGAAGGTAGATGGCGCTAATACCTTTTACAATTGTAGTGTCGACGCCGAACGAGAAGAAGAAAAACCTTTGGCGCATGCGCAGCAGTCTAAGAAGCAGGCCATTTTCAAACAAAACCGCGGGCAACATTTTAGCAACTTGAGCATAAAGAAGAACACGGTGACCGTTTGTTAAAGCGTTAAAAAGGACAAAAAGCGACGAAAATCAAACTACACAATGACCAGCACACTGAAAGGAATTACGCTCAAAGGAAGTTCGGAGCTTGTGGCTGACTTCTTTTGTAAGTATTTATCCTAACTTTACCCGAAGTGCCACCATCAAAAATCGCGAACATAATTTGGCAAACATTCTCTTTGGACCAGAGTACTGTTGAGTACAATTGCAGTAACGGAAAAAGTACTCACACTCTGCACTTAACCCGTAAGAACCCAGATGTTAAAAAAAATCTGCTTCAGGTTTCAGCATGATTGGCACACAGGGACTTAACTTTAAAATGCTTTCTTCCTTTCAAGAACGGTTAGTTCCCAGTCCTTTTATGAATGAAATCCATTCAAAACTGTAAAAAAAAAAAAAAAAACCAAACAAACATATAATTCAAATTCATTCAAAACTGTAAAACAAAAAAACATCACTGTGACATATATCACACATTAGCCTTATTAGTCATGAAAAATGCTATGTGAGACGCCTGACTTAACTCAAAACATAATTAAAAGTGTCATGATAATGGTGGGGGCAAACAATAATTTGGTGATCCATGCTTTGTTTTTCGAGGTGCTGAAATTGTACCACAGTTGCATGCATGTATGCACAGCAGACGGCGATGAGTTTTATGCTGACATTTATTCCTCATTCCACAGGTTTTGGTATCAACAGCATCCTGTACCAGCGTGGCATCTATCCTCCGGAGCAATTCACCAGAGTCAGCCAGTATGACATGAGCCTTCAGGTCACCTCAGATCCTGAACTGAAGAACTATCTTGACAATGTGGTGACACAGCTCAAAGGTTAGTCAACAGAATGTGATGTTTGCTAGCTTGAATAGTTACATTATGCTGTGTTGCTGGCACTTATGCCATGCAACTTGAAGGTTTTCGCTTAAGTGTGCCTTGTGTAATTCATACCCTCCAAAAGTGCAATTATTTTTACACAATTTTGGGCTGCACAGGGAGTATGCGAACGCGCGTGTGTGTGTGTGGCAGGTTTCTGGGTGCTCACTGGCCTTAAAGTCATTCCAGTTCCTCCTTAGACCAAACTATTTACATACTCCATTAATGTATGGCAGCAAAGGCGGGGGCGCACTCAGGCTGACCTCTAAAGCGGCCCTCCCTCACGGAACGTGTGAAATAAAACTCTGGTCAAGTCAGACTTCAGACAAAAATCTAGGTTTGCATGTCAGAACATTTCTTTGCAATCCCCTTGTATCATTGTGCAGAGTGGCTCCTCAATTGCACGGTGCAGAAGCTGGTGTTGGTGATCACATGTCTGGAAACGGACGAGGTGTTGGAGCGCTGGCAGTTTGACATAGAGTGTGACAAGTCGGCCATGGAGTGCAGGTGGGTGCTGCCATTTTAATTTGAGCGTTGACCACTGGTTAGTTACCAGTCCTTTTATGAATAAAATCCATTCAAAACTGTAACAAAAAAACCCATATGATTCAAATCCATTCAGAACTGTAAAACAAACATCACTGCGACATCTATCACACATGAGCCTTATTAGTCAAGAAAAATGCAAACAAAGTACTGTACTACAAAGTCCAAAGCCGAAAAGGGAGAGTGTTTCTTCGAGGAGCGTGCATCTTGCCAATAGACAATTCAATAGAAATATCTCGAAAAACGGGGTGCAATTGGGATTGATTTTAAAGTGAACACCTCGATTCAGTATGATTCATTTGGTACGGCTCAGTTTGAGAGGGTATGATGCAATTGCTGTTGTCATTTTATATGTGTATCTTGATATATTTTGAAGTGTAAAAAATCGATCCACTTGCATCTTTTAAATCAGATTTTCATATTCAAATCTTTTTTTTTTGTTAAACCCCTCCTTTCTTCCTCTCATATGAATGCATGCAGTCGGCTTCAGGCCTCCACCAGACAGACAAAAGTCACTTCTTGTGTATTGTAATTACACTAATCGTTGAAATTTACAACTAAAGGTCCAAACTCTAAAGCCGGTTTTATATCAAATGTGCAATTTTCCATTACACCATAGGTGCCACAAGATGGCAGTATAGCATTTTGTGTCACAAACTTCAACAATAACATGCAAACTCCACACAGGAAGGCCGGAGCTGGGATCGAACCCACGACCTCAGCACTGTGAGGTCAATGCGCTAACCACTGGTCCACCCACATTTAGAAATGATGAAATACATTAACAGCATGTGTTTTGCACATTTTTGTCCATTTCTGAAATGGCATTTTTGCCATATGTCTGATTAGGAAATGCACGGTCCTATGTGCCCCCCCTCGCCCCCGAGTAGCACTGACTGAAAATGTGCCATTTAAGTTGCCCATCACTGGTTAAAATGAAGCTCTCTGTTCACTTCAACATAGTTTCTCAGAACTGAAATGGCACCACATACATTAATGCTTTAATTGCTTGCTTTTTATTTAGTGGAGGAGTGAATTTCCCCTATGGATGAAAAAGCATATTTATCTTTGGCCTGAGCATAAAAATTGTAAAAAGTTGAGCTGTTCAGCGACGGGTTACAAACAAACAAAAAATCCAGAACTTTGTATATGTTGTTCTCTGTAATGCATAAGTATTGATTGGGATTTGTTTGTTAGTGCCCCTCGAGAAAAATCCATTCAAACCATCCAGGGTGAGATCCGCTCGGTTCTCCGACAGATCACCGCCTCCGTGACCTTCCTGCCCTTGCTGGAAACGCCATGTAAGATCAGCCGTCCGCTCGCTTCCGGCAAGATTTTCCTCTAACGTTGTACACCCCTCCAAAGGTGGCTTCAACCTCCTGATCTACACTGACAAAGACCTCGCCATTCCTGACAAGTGGGAGGAGTCCGGCCCGCACCGCATCAGCCAACCGGAGGAGGTGCGCCTCCGCTCCTTCACCACGAGCATCCACAAGGTGTGCAGCATGGTCACTTACAAGAAGACGTGCTCACTTTAAAACACTTTTAAAGCGCGGGGTGGGCAACAGCAACCAAAACTCAAGAAAACCCCAAACATTTCACACACTCATACAATAATAACAATAAACTTTTTTTTTCATACATTTAGTATGGCTTTCATTAAATCACAACTTGCACACCCACCCCTGCTTTCACGCGCACATTTTGGACTTTATGAAGCATCCATGAAGCAACAATGAGAAGGTAAGCACAAGGCTAAGTTCAACATGTGTTTCTGGGTTCCTTTTTATTGGACTTCTGGAAAAAAGCAAATCTGATAGCAGATGTGGTATTAAAAAAACAAAACAAAATAAGAAAAAAAAATCAACATGTTTAACAGAATTTATTTCATGGGGCAACATTGTTGGTGAGCTCGGTCCAGATAATCATATTGTAACAGATTACAAAAACCAGGCCATCAATCCATGTCGAATTCAATCACTGTCTACATTTCCAAAAATGCATTTATAATCTTATAAGGCAGTGGAGAACCTTTTTTTTCCCTCTTTTTTTAAATTTGTATGAAAAATAATTTAAAAACTTCTTCTGAAAAAGTGCTTAAAAAAAGAAAATGTACATTAACCTAATAAATACATTTAACAAATAAATATGCATGGCGGACTGTTAATGTGAGAGGGACGCTGCAGTAGTGCGTAGATATAACCTGCATCCCAATGTAAGTTTTTTTTCCCTTCTCATATCTGTAAGCTATGAATTCAACGCCACTCAGTGCAAAAATAATAAATAGCTTCTGTACTGTAATGACTGAAAAAATGGCAAGACTGACCAATGACATATTTGTGAGAACTGCACACGAACTGCTGCGCATAATGAAAGCTGTCCTAGATGGTCCACGGATACGCCAGACCGTTGCCATGGTAACCATAGATCTTTACCTCTTCCCATGGCTGAAAATACGTGCAAGGAACAGTGATATGGGCAGCCACCAAAATGCCGTAGCTCCTCCTGTATCGATACTTATCACTTACCGCAGTTTCTTTATCGTGATACCGTTATTGTAAAGTATCACCATCATTTTGTGCGTGCGAGTTAGCGTATGATTTCCCCCCTCTAAAACATAAAATGTTTATCGCACAATCTCCGTCTTGTGAGGGTCATTATTGGCCAAATATTGCAATATCGTTTCACATCCTTACGCCGCGATTCCACTAATCGTTGACACCGGGGTGTACTTTCGATGTTTTGTTTTTTCCAGGATATTGCACAACTGCTGTATCATATCATTAGCAAACGATTGCAGTATCGTTACTTTTTCGCTTGTAATTAGCTCAGTAGGCTGCTGTTCATGATAGCTGTGTTAAGTATAAATTGTGAAATGACTTTTTTCATCACCTTAGAAAAGAATGTGTGTGTAAAACAAACAAACAAACAAAAACAATAAATAAGAATAAAGTGAGCAAGACAGGAAGAATGTGACCATGCCACGTGGGCGTCCGTGATGACAGTCACACCAGACTGTTGACCAGGCCTTTTTCATACTCCTCGGCCAAGCACTTCCAATGCTGACGGTTCGTCCGACATCCCTCCAGCAAAGGGGAGCAATCGTCAGACATGCCTGCCAAGGTCTGACGACAGAAGTGAGTGACAGTGACTGAACAAGTATGCCACAATTTTTGCAGTATGCTAGATCAATCATCTGTTGCTCTATTGTGACCTTGTTAACAAAATTACATTTCTGATTGAACAGAAAATTGGTTAGCGTTTCATTGTGGTCATTTGTTTCCACTGCAACAGTTTTCACGCTTGAAAACACGGGTCCTTTTTTCAAGTGTTTTGTTGATATTGTATATATGATTCCAAAATGACCATATCGTGACATATTTTCAAACTGCTCATTTCAAACCATTTACTGCAAAATTACCTCATATAACTGCGTGCAGATGGCATCAATGAAGGAGACCTGCATGCTGGGAATCTTATCTCGCTTCTCCCGATTCATCAAGTCCTGAAATAAAATGAGATTGTAGCTACGAGTGTAATAATAATAACTGCAGGGTGCAATTCCCTCCGTTAGTGCCTTACACTGGGCTCAATGTTTAGTTCTAGTCTCTCTTTGTCCCCTTGCTCGAAGAACTCAGTCGCCACCAGCTCTGCAATCTGCACGAGGGGGGCGGGGGGGGGGACAGCAGACAATAGCTTAAATGGAGGAGGGTCCAGCAAAATGTGGGGGGGAAGCTGAAGTTGTATACCGTTGACACAAAAAATTAAATGAAAAAATCAACAAGCCATATTATTACAGGTACAAAGTTGCCAATGATTAGAGAGAATAATTTTTATGTGAAACAAAATGGAACTTGAACATAACTTCACAGGACAAAAAAATGTAAGGAAAAAACAAAAAACCATGAGGGAGAAAACATTTTGGGGGGTTGGTAAGAAAGTTGCAATTTCACAGGAATACAGATCAATTGCACAACAAAAACGATATTTTAACAGCTAAAAAAAAAATTATTTTGTGCGAGAAAGATCTTAAGGTCATGATTAAGAAAATCTGACTTTCAGAATTAAATTTCAATTAAGTTTTACTGTAACTATCCTAAAGTGTATTTAATTTTATTATTTTTTTAAACTTACTTCTTGGAGAAGAGTGTTTTTGGGGGTGCAGTTAATTCATTTAGAACATCTTTTTTTTGTTGGGGAGGTTGAGATTATCTATGGGCAGTCATTATTTTTAAACAAGCGTTCACACAAACACAATCGGCCAGTGACTGCCTCAGTGTTTTTTTTTCCACCAGGCTTGCGCTTCCTAACAAGGTGCATACTAACAAAGATCACCAGGGAGATAAAATAGTTGGGACGCAGCTGCAAGATGCTTTGTGGAAGGATAGGTGTTTCGCCTTGCAGTCCTTGTGGGGAAGACAATGTACGAGAATAAATTTGTGCTCTTGTAACCGAGGTGTGGGTAGGAGTGGGGGTCATAGAATAATAAAGTTGTTTACAAGAGACAAAAACTTGATGTACTATGCTAAAAAAACAAAACAAAACAATTTCATCGGAACAAAATAGGAATTTTCAATAGTGGGCAACTCAAATTTTTATGAGAATTAAGTTGTCATTTCACAGAGTAAAAGATGCAATATGAGTATGAACTTGGATCAGAAGTTCTACAAACATTGTGAAAAACAAAAAAAATGAAATATTTTGGTACAATCTGTTTTACATTACCTTCTTTTGCACCGGCCAGGGCTTGGTGATTGCTGATATATCGCATGCAGTCATCAGCATTGACCTAACAGAGACGTGCAGAACTGTTGTGAATATGTACACGGTATCTACGGTATATAAAAATGAACTCACATATGTGGATGTATTAATCTCACCTAAGTAAATCGCGGTGGTGATCAGTCTCCCAAACAAACTGTCTGTTATGAGTGAGCTCAAAGAACTCCTCGCGTCTCCTGTTGACAGACAAGGTTATGGGGGGGAAAAAGTTGCAATTTTAATCCAAATAAGTTATGAGATGTGAATGAGTCAGAAAATGGATAAAGTTGTTTAATTAAAAGAGAAAATGTATTGTGCAAGTAGGACACTGAAGTTAAATGTCATTTTGGAAGTCTTCCTTTGTACCGTATTTGCAGCGTTTTGTACCTACTTAATGTACAAGGCCAGGTCGGTGGACAAAATGGCCCTCTCAATCATCTTTAGAGTGCATTTGTACTCATCCAGGGAGAGGCCACTCAGTATCTGGTTGCCCTGGAACAGCATGAGAACCTTGTTTGTGTCATAACAGGAATGAAAAGGCCACCATGTACACTTACTGGACTGTTGAGGATCATGAGGCACTGGTCAAAATGGTGATGCTCCATGGTGGAGTGGCAGTAAAGCTGTGCCAGTGGGTGCTCACTCCTGATAATTTCACACAGGTTAAATACCCAGTGGGTGACTTGCAGGACATTGTATAATTTTGCGACTCTTCAACTGCTTCTCTACCTCTGTATGTAGAAGTTGTTGACTCCTCTGTGGTCCAGGTCATGGCAGAGCGTAGCGATCATCAGAGCCAGAACCTCTAAATCCCTAAGGCGATTCTGTCAGGAAACAAACGGCCTTAAACCAGGTGTGTCCAACTCTGGTCCTCAAGGGCCCCTATCCAGCTTTTATGTCTCCATCCTCTAATATTCCTGATTCAAATCATAATAATCGTCGTCAGGCTTCTCAGAGCTTGCTGTTGAGATGATCCTTTGAATCATATGTTGCAGCAGGGGGACATCTAAAACAAGCTGGATAGGGGCCCTTGAGTACCAGAGGAGGATGAACTCTCCTGCTTTAAACAAATGCCAGCTATCTTGAAATGTGGTTTTTACTGTCTTGTAATATTCAGAAATAGCCTTGAATGTGCATTATATGCTGCTCATGCTACCTCACTAACCTGCAAGCGCCCTGATTTAAGGAGGGCAAACATGCACTGGGCAGTGTTGAAAGCATGTCTCCAGTTGTGATAGGCCACATTCTTCCTGTAGTTCTTCTTCACGCTCAGAATCCACTGGCATAAGTTCTAAACAGCGTAGAAGTCTTTATTGTTGTTAATCCGTGTTGGAGATTGGTTTGACTACGACGCCTACCGTGTGCTTCATGTGGAAGTTGTGCACCAGGTCGAGGTCGACAAACATGCGCACAGTACCCAACGTGGTTTCGGTGTCCGACAAGTCAAAATCGCTGAAGCCAAAGTCCAGGAGTCGCAGCGACTGGGCCGATGGAATTGTGGCTGCCTGCCCAGTGGACACATGGATCGGGGATGTGGTTAACCATTACTCCAATTCTTTAACGGCCATCAAAAGGGTGAGAAAAGCAATGGTAAAGGGGGAATAAAAACCTTATCTTTCTATCCTTATGTGAAGAAGTAATACCCCCTTTGTTCAAGCATAAATTTACTGTTTTTTGCAAATCTGAGGTCCATTTCATTGGCCACCCCATGGCCTGATTACTGCCAAATTTGTTGACTCAAAAAATCCAACGAAATTAACTATTAAGTGAGAAACAAAGTGATAGAAATTTATCAATCTGGAAAACGTTACACAGGCATTTCTGAGGCTTTGGGACTCCAGCAAACCACCGTCAAAACCCAAATTAGTCCCAAGAGTGGGGGGGGGGGGCATCGATGGGAGAGTTCCAAAGTGAAAACCACTGCTAATGAGATAAAAAAGCAACATGAGAAACAATCTATGTATGGGTTGATGAGACAAAACATTTGATTTGATAAAAACAAACAAACAAAAAAAAACCACAGCTTGTTAAAATTCAAACATGGCATTGACAGTTTGATGGACTGGGGCTCCATTGCTCCTTCAGGTCCTGGACTACTGGCTTTGTTTAATGGAACAATCATTTCTGCAATCTACCAGAAAATTCTGAGGGCAAACATCCGGCAAGCAGTTTACCCAAAACATATGAACAACTCCACCTCTGGCTAAAACAAAAAAAGTCCACATGAGATGCTGTAGTATGACTGTATACAGGAAGTTCATACTGAAAAACCCAAATAGGTTTACCCCCACAATCCAATTGATGAAATCATACTTTAGATTCTACATTTCACATGTACTTTATTTGTCTTAAACATATGAAAAGTGGTTTGGTTGTTTTGTTGGGGGAAAATACTTTTTCTAGGCACTGTATATTTAGATTCTATCTGGGGATTTCGGGTTACCTGGAGCCCCTGAGACTCTTCTGCAGCAGCCGAAGCATGATATGAAAGGACCTGCAAAATACATTGGCAAGCAGTGATTTAGTAAACTGCAGACAGCAGCAGTCGTACATGAGAGTTTCGACTTAGGATCATCTCTGATCCAAACTTATGGTGGGTACTGACCTCAAGAGTGACCTGCTGCTTGGCCATGGCTCTCTCCACGGTCTCGTACATCTGCGTGTTCTGGATGGCGAGGCCACAAAAAATGGCAAAAGCCTCCAAGAACTGTTCGTCGTTCCTGTTGAACGTCTTGGTGCCGCCCGACACCTCATCCATCTTGTTCACTAACTGGCAGCAACCTACGGACGTGGATCCTTCTTTATCCCAACACCACTTTCCCCACGACAGAAACTTTTTCCACTGAAACATTGCAGCTTTATAATGATCACATTGCTGATCTCGAAACGAGACTTTTTGAATTACACTCTAAGGCGCGCCTAAAAGCATTCAATTTTCTCAAAAGCCGACAGTGCGCATTATAATCCGATGCGCCTTTTATATGGCTCAATGATCTGATTTCTTGGACGTAGTATTTTAAATGTTCTGTAAAGTGCTTTGTTACAGTTGCAGCGGTTGTAAATGCTTGAGATAAATAAAGCCGTATTGTATTCCCTTTAGCGTAGCTCCATCTAGTGGATGCATAGCGCAACCGCAGCCACTATTGTAGCCACTATTCTATGGGCCTTATAATGCGGTGCACCCTATATATGAAAACAGTTTTGAAATAGGCCATTCATTGAAGGTGTGCCTTATAAGCCGAAGCGCCTTATAGTGCAGAAAACACGGTAGTCTGACGGTTCCATCATAAAGACAGCCACCGGAGTTCCTACCTATGACTTTGTCCTTCTTGCCATTCTTGATAGGAGCGCAGAGCAAACTTGTTGTCCGTTTGCTCGTCTGATATTGCTTTTCACACTGCTGGATAAAAAAAATTGCATTACTCTAGTAATAAATAGATGGTACCACCCCCAAATTTTTAAAAATACAGACCATCAAGGGGAAGCGTTGATCCTTGGTGACATCGGCAATATTGAGAGGCTGCATGGTATTTTTAACATACTGAGCGTACATGTAGTTGATCTGGTTGACACAAGGAGATTCTCTGAGGAGATTGACAGCAAAATGTTCATCAAACAAAGAAAAATAATCGCATCATGAAGCCATCGACCGACTGAAATAAAGTCAGACTTGTTTCTGTCTTACAGCGTCATATTTACATTTGTAAATTCGGACTTCATTCTCGTATCAACAACAAATTGTATTTCGTACATTGCGACTTTATTCCCACAAAATCACCGCTTGCTTCTCATAACATTACATCTTCTCTGAAAATTATGCAATTAACGGCAAGTTTACTTTTCCTCTCATAACATTCCCACTTTTTCCCGTAATATCGCACGTTTTTTTTTTTTTCCAGATCATTACAATGTCATTCACGTATTGTTTTGACTTTCTCGCAGCATTATAACAGGCCCGCTTTCTCATCCAATAATATTGAATTTAATGGTGTCACCCTTTTGCTTTCATCTTACCTTTTGGGTGAAGTAAGGACTTTTCCGTTTTCGTATTCCATATGAAAGACACTGGAAAAGGGGTTCTGAAAAAAAAGGCCAAAACTGAAGTTTTCTTCCTTTCATTTTCTTTTTACAAGACAAATTGATTTTTTTTCCCTCCAGTTAAGCCATTAAGACGGTGCAACTCGTCCAAGTTACAAGTAATGGTCCATTACACATCAAGCCTTGCCAGATTAGGAGTTTATTTCAACATTCCATGTCTTTCTTCCGCTCCCGTCCTCCTTATAGGGACTTGTTTTTGTTCAACATGCACTCCCCAAAAGATTCTTTTCCCATTTTAACAGTATGTTCAAGATAAACCAATGACTTTTTTTTTTTTCTGTTTAGGAAAAGTTTGCTCCCTTACCCTGGCAGAGCGTCCCTCTCTTGGGCCATAAAAAGGGCTTTAAATAGAAAACATCCTTCAATGTTTGGACTTAACTTGGGGTCACTGGCAAAGCTAAGTAGTTTCGAGAAGATGCTTTTCTTCAGGCATGTAGAAGTCACGAAAACCGATGATGGGTAAACTATGGCTTGTGGCCCGTATGTAGCCCATCAGAGGTGTTCTAGGGTCACTTTGGTGCTGACCTCCGTGGAGTCATTCTCAGCAATGAAGACCGTACAAGCCTGGGCCTGCATGAAGGACAGGATGGTTCCAGCAAACTTCCTCAGTAAAACCTCTAGACACTGCTGCTCCTCAAAGATGAGACTTGCCAGTTCCAACAGCACCTGAACATATCATCCTCTTAAAAAGCTATCTTGATGCATTCATCCAACATAGGAAATAATAATGTACCATATTTTTGGCACTATAAGGAGCTTCGGAGTATAAGGCGCACCTTCAATGAATGGCCTATTTTAAAACCGTTTTCATTTATAGGACACACACCATTATAAGGCGCATAGAATAAAAGCTACAATAGTGGCTACGGTTCTGTTATGCATCCACGAGATGGAGCTACGCTAAAGGGAATACAATACAATACGGCTTTATTTATATCGAGCTTTTACAACCGCTGCAGCTGTAACAAAGCATTTTACAGAACATTTAAAATATGTCCAAGAAATCAGAATATTGATCCATATATAAGGCACATCTGATTATAAGGCTTCTGAGAAAATGTAATGCTTTTAGGTGAGCCTTATAGTGCGGAAAATACCGTACATGATGAGAAGATTTTGAACTGAATTTGGCGGATTAATGTACCTGATTACGTCGGGTTTCTAGCTGTGACACCTCGTAGAGCTGGGCGTTGTGCAGAACGATGCCGGAAAATGCCAAGTAAGCTGAGAAGTCCTGTTTGGAGAGAAAAACCGCTGAAAAAACTGTTTCGTGTAACATGGTTCTTGTGAGTGTTCTCATTCTGTCTTGTTTATTGGAACATTGCAACTCGGTTACCTTGATTGTGCAGCAGCAGTAGTAAAGGGGTGAAAAGCGACAAATCAAAGAGCCAAAAGCCGACCAAACTGTAGATGACTTTTGCGCTTGATGGCAAATCATTCTTCGACTATATCAAATGTGTGAGTGACGTGATAAATTTTGTGCAAGTAGTTACCAAATGTTCAACTCTTGGGCAGTGTCAAAATGGCCAAGAAATGATCAAAAGGGAGTTTTGCATACCTTTTCATCCTGTTGCGTGAAGGCTCCATCATTTCCATTTTTCTTATTGATAGCTTGAGCCACTCCAACTACCTGCCAATGGGTGGTTTGAGATATTTTCGTCCTTTACATTTCCAGTGAGCAGATTGAAGGTTTTGGGTGCGGGGGCTTTTTGTGACTGCTGTTCTGAGGTTCTTTTTGCTTTTATAATGGCACAATATTATGGTTACCTCGTCTCTGTGGTTCTTGATGGGAAGGCACAGAATACTGTGAGTCTTGTAACCGGTGATCATATCGACCTCCGCGTTGAATCGAGGGTCCTACGAGTGCGGAAACCAGCATAAGAATAGAAAAATAAACACACTTAAACGCTCAAGAGCGTTCAGATAAAGAGGTGTGCTAATTGGACGGGGCAATCAGAGGAACAGGCTTCATCAACGGCAGGAGAGTTGATGAAAGCTGACAGGATTTCGGGAAAACACTCCAGTGTGCTTTCATGAAATGTTTGCAATATGGTGGAGGGAAAAAAATACAATTACACAACAAAACATGGAGAAACTGAGCGGCGTCAAGGCTTTCCGAATGAACAGTATATTTTACCATAGCAAATGATGGCAATTCATCTCATCATAAAACTGCTACGAACCATTTAGGAATCGTTTTGAGTAACGTGTAAGCGTCAACGTTACCTCATAAGCGTTCTTGATGTTGAGCGGCTGTCCCGTGGCGGCCACGTGTCCCACAATGCCCTTATTCCACTGCAGTCGGATGCTGCTGCTGGATGATTCTTCCAACGTGGATCCCTCGGCCACATCAAACAGGCGGCTGATCAGGAACTTTGTGTTCGAGCTGTCCTCGCCCACCTGAAACCCCAAACAAAAGGTCCAGCTATGCCGCCTTGCTGTGTGTTTAGACACAATGAAGTACAGAAACCGCAAATTAAAGTGAGTTTAGTGATAAGGACTGAGCCTTGCCACAAAAATAGCAGAAAAATATTAATCCCCCGCCCCGCCCCCGCATACAATTTCCCCCAACAACCCAGGCTAATCAAATCTCCTCCACTGTGGAATATATTGTATTGTTTATTGTAATTTAATCGCTTCTGAGACCTGAAAATCGAATTTGAAATCTGGTTGGTTGAAGAAACTCTCCTGTTGCTAATACAGCAGCAAAATTCGCATATTTGTGGTTCGGCATTCACAAATTCACCCACTTCTGTATTTTTTGGTTATTCGCTGAAAAACTCTTATTTGTTATTTGTGTCCTAAGGCCAATCTTGTGGCATCATGGAACCGAGGAACAATGTTCAAGTAAATTGAGATTAGTTTTGACAAGAGGTGCTTTGCGCCAACTCATGGCATCTTGGTTTCAAGGAACTATGTTGACGTCAGTTGAGGTGTTTTGTTGGGACAAAATCAGCATTTTGTGTGGCATCTTGGTGCCAGGGAACTATGTTGATGTGAATTGAGGAGCTTCATTGAAATGAAAGTATAGCTTTGCCAACATCTTAAGGTGACTACAGGCAATTATCAACCATTTTAGGGGAGCATCAAATACTCACAGATTTTTGCTGGTCGCGACATAGCACCAAAAGGAGCCTGAAATGTGATTGGACAAAAAACAAAAACTTTCATACCTCTAAGCGAAACTATGGTTGCCGGTACGTTGGGGATTACCAACCAAACTGGTCCGACCCTAAACACACATTTGGTCTTTTGATTGACAAATGACCACACTAGGACGTGTTAGCAATAATAATAAGAAGAAACATCCTGTTTTTAAGAGTGCGGTGTCCCTGCCCACCAGAAATAACGAGTAGCGGTCTGCGGCAATGAGCTCGTTGATGTGGAGGAAGATCTTGTGGCAGAGTGCTGTCACATCCAGATGGCTTGAAACGTCCTTCACCAGCTCTAGCAGTCGAGTGCAACGATCGCCTCGGTTACTGCCGCCGCTAGCCACCTTGGCGCTTCCGTCTCCGGCATCCCCGTCCAGCATTGCAAAGCCCCACGTGGGGACGCTCTTGCGGTCTGCGTCGCTCAGAAACGTCACTGAGCCCTCCTCGTCCGTCACCACGATGGGCCGGAGAGGGCGGTCGAATTCGGATGCGGAGATTTTGCGAGCTGGGGTGCCGGGCGGTTGGTTGGAGACCACGCTGGGCACAGGGGTGTGATTGCCCGAAAGGCTAAGGGTGACGGGATCCGTAGAGTACTGGTTGTCTTTGGAGGCGGGCGACTTGATGGCGTGGACACGTTCAGCGAACCAAGCATTCACCATGTCCCTGTTAGTAGGGCATAAAAGTCCATTCATTGTTCATCAACAACTTGTTTTGAAGCAACTGAGGCAGCCAGCGCAGGCACAGTGCGTCCAAACCTCACTGAACCAAGGCACATAAGTCAGGAAATTCTCATGTCATACCACCAAATAAAAATATCATAAAGGGTATACAGTAATCATCTGTGCATTCACACTATGGCTACTACTCTCAAGTAAACTGATCTGCATTTTTGTTTTTCTGGAATCTGTTACTTGCTAAAAACCTTTTTGTGTGTTTTTTGGGTGCTCTTTCTGAATCGTCCAAATACGCCATTGTAGCCCTGTTTAAATAGCAAAATAATATGGTTGATCTGACACAGTATATTAAAATCAGGCCATTCACTGAGAGAAAAGCTTTGCATATCAGGGAGGAACTCCAGTGGCCTGGTTTGTTACACAAAGAGTCTTCTTGTCAAGAGCTTGAACATGTTTTCCTAAGCTGTAATTTTTGTCATTTTCAAAGTCCATGCACCCCTGTTTAAATATCAGGTTATGCAAGGCTGAATGAAACATAAATAACTGGAATAATGTGGTTGCAGAGGTGTGCCCACCTCCATATCTGGAGGTGAGGCAATGTTCCAAACTAACCAATCACTTTCACACTCATGATAAATAGAAAGCAGTGCACAAATACCACAATTTTAAAGAGCCTCTGATTCACCCCAGATGAAGTTCAGATGTATTAGTTGACTTTTCCTGACTTTTTTTTTCCACCTCTTTTGGAATTATGGCCAATAAGGTCAACCTTGGCTTCTTTGGAGCATAACACATTTTCCCACCTGTTTGGAAGATTTCAAGTGTTTTTCTTTGTAAGATAAAGCTTCCAAAATTTCCGCCCTACCCCATAGCCCGGACATAAGAAGAAGACAGGAAATGTGTACTGCCTCTTGGCAGCCTTCCTGTTAAGTTTTCTTGTCTTTCTCATCAATTTTAGAGTGACGTCGAGTTCTTGGTCATATCACTATTGTGCCATATTGCCTCCACTTGATGATGACGGTCTTAAGTGTGTTCAGTGGTGTTTTTGATGCCTTGAAAATGTTTTGTGCCCTTCTCCTGATGGATAGCTTTGAGTAATGAAGTCCCTCAGATGCTGTGGAATCTCTCTGCGGACCATGGCTTGTGCTGCAAGTTGAGACTACAGAAAATGTCGGGAAAAGCCTACTAGAACATCTCATTTGGTTGAGGTTACTCAGAGGCACGATGAATGGTGGCATGTCTGTGCCAAGCCCTGTGTCACATGGGTTTGAATGTGAACACAGCCATGAGCGCACTCGTTTATTTTTATTTACTCTCTTGAAAAGTTTGGATAAAATGTTAATTGAGTTGAACAAGTTATAGATCACATTTACGGTGATATATTTTCTTTAATGGTTCATCTTTCTGTTTTGTATCAAAAACCCTAAATTTTGAACACGGGTGTGTGGACTTTATATAGCCACTGTCCCAGCTATTTACATTTGCAACTACTGGGTCAAAAAAAAAAGTATTTAATCACTTTTGCAGATAAAATGGAGAACATTCGCCGATAGTCATTAATGGTTCAGCTACATGCTATTAAGGTTAGCATATCCTTTAACAAATTAAGTGGTGGTAAAAGTATTTTTCGCAGATCAATAAATAGAACATATTGCCTTTTTTTGGAGGGGGGGAGGCAAAATGTAGAGAAAACATTGTTTTCTGCAACCCTTTCAGTCATATTCATTTGTGCATAAAAGTAATATTTAAAATGTTTGAAGTCATGAATCGCTTGTCCTATTAAAAAGCCCCACTAAATGGGGAATTGCATGCTTTCCACTCGGATTCATTTGTTCTCCAAGTTGCACTTCATAACGCGTTGAGTGTTTTTAAAAAGTGGGCAATAATTGGAAGTTCACACATCTTGACTGTGTTGTCTTAATTTTCACGAGGACGCATTGGAGAGCACAAATTAAACAATGTGCTGTAAAAGTTAATCATTGAATGACCCCCCGCGCAATTTTCATGTAACATACACATTGCAAGTAGGAGCCCATTCGAACACGATAAATGCGCGTTAAGGACGACAACAGTAACAACAAAACACGTACGCGCGCGCCCGTCGCTCGCTTTTACCTGGACGCTTTCCTGACAAAGTAGGAGTGCGTGAAGTCGAGGTGGTCGTCCAGCCACGCTTCCATCATGTCGTCCTCCATGGCGTGTGTCTGCCTCTATATATCCACAATAGCGCGACGGTCCCCCATATGGAAAAAAAAAAAGGATAGGGGGGGGGGTAGGGAGGGGGAGAAAAAGACAAATGCACGGAAGCGAGCACGAAAAAGTAAACAACGTGTAAGGCGCGCGTATCACAAGCAGTGCGCCACTTTTTTTCTTTCTTTTTTTGTGTGTATGTGGGATTAGATACAGAGAAGAGAGGGAGGGAGGGAGAGAGAAAGAGATCAGGCACTTCCTCTCTTGTCAAACATGCGAGAGATATCGCAGACACCAACCGGCTCCGACGGACGCTCGGTGGCGGAGCGTGGGGTTACAAGCGTCAGGGGCAAAGTCACATAACCCGCACCTTCCACCCCGAAACCTCACCTTGCATTGGCAGGCCATTCAAACGCCTCAAAGTTTGATTTAAGGGACGGTTTTTCAAACTTTCAGGGTTCGGCCGCGACACTTTTCGGACGACCGCCTCATAAATGCCACTGAAATTTAAAAGTTGTTAAATTTTTGAGAGAAGAAGTCTGAATGTTATGATTTAAAAAAAAAACGTGATGTATTATGAGAATAAAGAAAAAAGTTGTAACCCTTTACAAGAGCAAAGGTTTATCTTCTCGGGTGGGGGATTTGTAATCTTAGATAAAAAAAAACTTCGAAATTGCGATATTCAATGCCAGTGGTTAGGGCGTCGACCTCACAGTGACAAGGTACCGGGTTCAATTGCAGCTCCGGCCTCCCTGTGTGGAGTTTGCATGTTCTCCCCGTGCCTGGGTGGGTTTTCTCCGGGTACTCCGGCTTCCTCCCATATTCCAAGAACATGCACAGTAGGTTGATTGAACGCTCTAATTTGTCCCTCGGTGTGATTGTGAGTGTGAATGGTTGTTTGTCTAATTGCCGTGCGATTGGCTGGCGACCAGTTCAGGGTGTACCCCACCGACTGCCCGAAGACAGGGATAGGCTCCAGCAAGCCCGCGACCCTCGTGAGAATAAGCAGATGCATGGATGGATGTGCACATTTTTTTAACCGCAATATTGCATCACAATCATAGCTATAGTGCAACCTCTCTGATCGTATGATTTGTTTATTCAAACGGATGAGAACACGCCGAAGGCTAGAGCACACAAAGGAAAGCAGACATTTTACAGTAGTCGAAGGGTCGGGTTATTTTTTTTTTTTATAGATGCCATAGGGCAACCTGTCGGTGCAAGACTTTGATTGTTTCATGGCTTCCAGTCTTTTATGTGTCTGGGTTGGTTTGACTTTGGTCCTTCCAGATGGACGCCCTCCCTCCCCTTCCCCCCGCCAGCGGTGTTCCCTTACTGGCAGATGGTGACTCGTTGTCCCTGGAGGAGAGAAAGAAGGAAACGGTGGGTTGGTGGGGGAGTTTGGACATTTCATCTGCAGGGACTCCCAATCAAGGAGTCAATTTCATGCTGGTGAGGCTCCAAACGTTTTGGTTTGATAGATAAAAATCCGCAGAGTAGTAAGCATATAGTTGTTCCATTCTTTATTGTGTGGATATTGATAAGCTCGACGCATAATACCAATTCAAGATATGCATGTTAAATGCTGTTATTATCTTGTCCACTTGGGGTCGCCATTATCATGTGCTACACTGTAGTGTCTGTGATTTTGAGTGCTTGGGACTTGAAAAGGTGGGGCCTGGCCTGGTGAGTGACGTGGGAGTCAGCCATTGAGAGCGTAGAGTTGGCTGTCGTTGGCTCAGGATAGCGGCTGCTTGTGAAATGGCTAACCGTTAGCTTGTTTGGCCACGTTGAAGTCGACTGTGAGGCAAGCTTCATATGTCAGAGAGGAGCTGCATTGAGCCTGGGTTGTTCGTGGAAGTCTTTTTGAGAGATTCGTGGTCACATTCCATTGAGGTGCATTTTTCTGAACTCTAATCATCTGTTGCAAGTTTGAAACGATTGAGGTGACGAAGGATTGAGGTTCTCATGAGTTTATTTGCATTTTCAACTCTTCATACAGGCAATTCTAAACTTTTTTTATGGGGCGTGTCAATTACTGTACATATTTTAAGTATGTGTATATTTTTTATTTACAATTTACAAAAAAAATCACTTATTAATAAATGTCTTATTGTGGAAACGACTCCTTAAAAATGACTGCATTCTCTCTACATTTCATATATGAAATTTTCATCCTGAATATTTTCATAAAACAGTATTTCGATTTTTTTTTCCCCCTCACAAAATGACTGAACACATGACCCCTCCTCATGGTTCCGACTCCATTCTTGTGAAATTTTTCTTGTAATATTCCAACTATCCCAAGGCTTTTGTTTTTCTCGCAGTGTTACAACTTGATTATTTTTTTCTCGCAACATTTCAATCGTCATTGTTCATCGACAAAGGGAAAAGGATTCGTATTCTTCTTTTATCTCTTTTTGGTAAAATTCCAACTTTAATCTTGACTCTACAGAGGTCTTGTAATATAACCACTTTGTCATGATCTGGGCATGTTTCTCTCTTAAATTTCAAATTGAGTTTTTTTCTTTCTCCTGAAATCACAAGTTGTTATTCTCAGGAACAGGTTCAGAATTGAACGGCAAGCCGGATCAAACCCCCCCTCTGGCGGCTTCCCTGGATGTGACGAAAGTTTGAAAAAATCCAGACAAACGTGTCTGCGCAATATCAAACTAAAGTAAATGTCACAGGAAGAGCACACAAGGCAACGACTGTTCATTCCTTCACCGGGATCATCTTGGAAGTCATTTCCTGCCCACACTTACACTCGTCAAAACACATAACTATGAGCGACCAAAAAAAAAAAAAAAAAAAACTTTCCCCACGACTTTGGAAATATTGCGAGTAAATCTTTTTCTCTAATTTCTGTGAAACGCATGCTAAGGTGGAGTGACATGTAATTGCTGGAACTCCGCCATGACGCGCTCCAGTTTGCATAATGCTGAAAAAGGTGACACATGGCTTCTTGTCATTTCGCCGCCAATTCCTTTTGTCTTTTGTCAATTTATTTTGTCTTCCACCGGTTCACTGGCAACCCGCCGGCTGTTTTCAAAAACAATCTGCAAGGATAAATCAACTGCGCAGGGAGGAATGTGAGGACAAATACCACACGTGCTTAAATGTCATGTTGTTTTATTTGTCATGCAGACAAAACAAGGCCATCTTATTATTTAACAGTCTGTAAGGGTGTCCCAATTCTTGTGTCCTCAGGGTGGAAATGAACCGTAGAGGTTTTAAGCCGGAGACGTAGCGTGTTGCTATTCTTCAAGAAGGTTGTTGACGTTTTTCAAGCAAAATGTGTTCATTTTACGAAGGTTAGCTTGTCATTTTGCGGAATGTCGACTTGTTGCAAGGAAAATGATGACATTTAACATTAACATTTTAATCATTTGGTACATTTGTCAAACCTCGACCAGGCAAGTGGAATCTGAGTCAAGCGTTGGTATTTAACAAGAAAAAAAATATATTTTTAAGAGAAAGACGTAATTGTTTATCATATTTAAAATCGTGACCAGAATAGCAGAGTAGAAGGCAATTTTTTTAACAACAAAAATGTCATTTGGTTCGTCAAATATTAAATTTTATGAGAATATTTATGTAATTCGGCACTTTAAAGCTATAACATTAGCATGCTGGTGAATTAAGAGACAAATGTTAGCATTTTATCAAAACATTCTCATTTTTTGATGTAATGTTTCCATTCTACATGATCAAAATGTTGTCACTTAACAAATAAATAAAGAAGTGGTATTTCCAAAGAAAAATATCAGAATTTGGCACATTTAAAGTTGAAATGCTACCTTACCGGTGAAATATGAGACAAATGTCATTTAACAAGAAAATAAGAAAAGTGAAAAATGTCTCTCAACAAAATTTTTGGGGGGCATTTTGCAAGGGCATAACTTGGCATTTTCAAAGTCGTGAAGCAACCAGACTGGTGAAATATGAGACAGATGTTGGCATTCAAAAATAAGAATAATTTTTTTTAATGAATGTAAATGTACTGCTCAATTATAGTTCACTTGCACAATTATAGTTCAGTTGAACCTGATTACAATGAAGTTGGTACGTTGTGTAGAACAGAAATAAAAACTGAATAAAATAATTTCCAAATCGCGTTCAACCTATATTTAATTGACTGCATACAAAGACAAAATATTTCATGTTCATAGTGACAAACTTTCTTGTTTGTTTTTTTTTAAACTTGGAATTTTATGGCTGCGACATGTTCTCAAAAACTGGGACAGTGTCATATTTACCACTTTGTTACATCACCGTTTCTTTTCAAGGTCAAGTGTGAAGCAACTTCCCCAAAAAAAAACAAACAAAAAAAAATGTCAAATGAATCACAAAATTGCTTAAAAAACACAAATGCAGCAAATTAAGACAAAAACATGCAAAATATTACAGATAATTGTTTTTTGTTTGGTTGTTTGTTTTTTAAGTGAGGGCATTATCAACGATGACACAATGCGTTTCAACAATTTTTTCATGAAAAACATTGTCATCAAACACAATAATTTAGACAAAATTAATTAATGAGAGGGACACCAGTATTGTAGGACCAATAAGACCAGTATATAGACCAGGCTGCTGAATAAACATGCATGAAAACCTGTAACCATTGTAAATAGCACAGCCACCTTATGTATGCATAAGATGCATATATGCAACTTATATTTATACTGTGTACAGTTCTTTTTCTGAAACATTTATTTATTTTGTGCATGCAACACTTTGGTTTTTTTCTTCTCTACCCCCCCCAATTTTGCTGCTGTAGACTGCACATTTCCCCAATGTGGGACAAATAAAGGTTATCTTATCTTATAACTTTAAAATTGCTGTGTTACCTCTCCAACCATATTACATACCAGAACATGCTGGCAGTATACTCACTTTAGGCCTCCACTTGAAAAACCGGTTCTTTGACATGTTCGTAACCTTCATGTTACATAAGTGGTCAAGAATTTATCGTTAGAAACTGGTAAAACCTTTTTGATGCATTCTGGTAAATTACATGATCTGTTAAAATATCATTTGAATCTTACATACAGTGGTACCTCTACTTACGAAATGAATTGATTCTGGAAGACATTTCTTACCTGGAAAAATTTGTAAGTAGAGACGCGTTTTGCGTGTAAATGCCCTAATCCGTTCCAAGCCCCCCAAAATTCAGACATGCATGTTTTATAAAGCATAAAAATGCATCAAAATATGTGGTTTTTGTCAGGCATTTTGTCAAGAACTGATCCAATGACGTTTGCTTTTGTCGGCTTTTAACAATCCTTCGAAAATGTCCAGAGAAAACATCAGCATAGCGATCGCCCGACTGGTGTTTTTCTGGGTGATTCACATTTACGTAAAACTATGGGAACACCTCACGGAACGAGGGGCGAATGACGAGGACGCTGCATAGACACATAGCTATAGCTGTAGACCAGTGGTTCTTAACCTTGTTCAAGGTACCGAACCCAACCAGTTTATATGCACATTCACCGAACCCTTCTTTAGTGAAAAATAAAAATATGATTTCTTTACAAATCCAATACAATAAAGAATGCATTTATTAAAAACAGAAAAAAGTAAATACAAACTCAAGACATAAGTCTAATTGTTTTTAATTGTATGGTAGAGGCTCCGTCGAACCCCTGAGGCCGATTCATCAAGCCACAAGGGTTCGATCGAACCCAGGTAAGAACCACTGCTATAGACACATACAGTAGAGGTCCTTCTTAGCCAATGAGATGCCAGGATGATGCTCGGTAATAGCCAATAGCAGAGCAGCTATAAGTATGTTGCCTTCAGGAAACTCGGAGCTGAGACTACCAGCCCATACTGTACTTTACTTTCGTACCTTTCGTATCTTGAAATTTCTTTCGTATCTTGAAATTTCTTTCGTAACAAGAGGCAATATTTTGCTGTTGAGGCGTTTCGTAGCTTGAAAATTTCGATTGAAGAGACGTTCATAAATAGAGGTACCACTGTATCGCCATTTAAATACATACATCTTAGTATATATATCAGAATAGGATGACATCACAAATCTCAGGGTGATATGCACCCAACGGGGTGGAACACGACTTTGCGGGCACACAGTAAATTAAAAGCAAATAAATCATAACTGCAGCCATTGATATACAGAGAGAGATTTTATTGTGTCTTATTCAATTTAATATACTTGGCATGCATTATTTTGTGTTGATTGAATAAAGAAGACCTCAATCTAGAATAAAAGCTTTTCATGACGGACATTTTATTGATTTTTAATAGAATATTATGTTTATTTGATTTTTGTGAATTTGATCAGAGCGCAAGAAAACAACTTCAGTGCTCCGCGGACATGTGTGGTGCATATGATCCTATTTCCCTCATAAATATGACAGCAACGTGGGACAATCCCTCTGAATCATTGTTGAAATCAATTCATTCAATGAATTACATTCAACATCATCTTAAAACTACTGTAATAGCACCCCCTGATCGTGTGACACAACTAATTGGTTGTCACATATGGATGTACGGTTGTGAGTGCAAGGCGGTCTCCAACTGCCCATGTGGCCGACAACATCATCCGCAAGGGGGAGATCTTGCTATATAAACGGGTCATGCATGGACCCCAGCGAGTCGATTTCTCTTTCCGCAATTTCAAGCATAGTATTGCCCGAGCACGAAAATAGAGCCTGTAATGTTACCTCGCATGATTTTGATAGTCATGATACTAAAAAAAAGTACATCATATTGGCATGTTTTCCGATGCAGACTTATTGCTGAACCAGTAACCACGACAACAGCACCAGGTAGGAAGCGTTGATCAGGTTTGTGTTGTGACTCGCTTCACTTGGAAGTTCTGAAAAACAAAATAAGAAAGAAAAGTCACATATTGTCTTGACCAACCCAAACAGGCAATGCTCGCTTTTTGAACAACTTACTTGTGCCATCCACAAAAATATACGAGGGGTCCACGTCAAAAGCCGTGATGTGGGGTGCGGCGTCCACCAAAATGTCTGCGATGGCGCTGTGGTTGGGCACCGAGCTAAACGGACAGTTCAAGTCCACGTTGTTGATGACGGAGCCAAAACTGCCAGATGCACAACGACAACAAAAAAATAATTGTGAGCACAGATGTGTCTTTCTAACGCAGATGATGATTCATCAATATGTCAGACTGCCTGAATATTGCATCAACTACTGCCAAGGGGGTCTGACTTGATTTCAAATTTTTTTTTGCCGTAGTTATCATTGGCTGTTATCACCGGCTTCCATGAGTACTCAATACCTCAAAATTAGGCCAGGATTGGCCCAATTCGATTCCTGGTGTCATTACGTACCCATTCCTGATTATTCATCCATCCATTTTATGAACCGCTTTATCCTCACAAGGGTCGTGGGCGTGCTGGAGCCTATCCCAGCTGTCTTCGGGCAGTAGGTGGGGTACACCCTGAACTGGTTGCCAGCCAATCGCAAGGCAGACATTTACGAACATACATTCACGCTCTCAATCACACCTAGGGACAATTTAGAGTGTCCCATTAACCTGCCATGCATGTTTTTGCAATGTGGGAGGGAACTGGAGTACCCGGAGAGAACGTAGAGAGAACATACAAACTCCACACAGAAAGGCCCGGGATCGAACCCACAACCTCTGCACTGTGAGGTCTACGCGCTAACCACTGGCCCACCGGGCCGCCTCCGATTATTGTTATTGTTATTGTTGTCATCAGCGCCTTAAGCGACAACTGACCTGAATGAAACCACGTCCAAGGTGCATGAAGAGAAGTGACTCTTGAATAAAGGTTCAAGCTGTGGAAACACAAGGAAAAGGACAATGATGGTTGGCGTTCCATTCGGGAAAAACAAGTAGGCTCACAAGAAATATGTTGTCATTTCCAAGAAAAAAAGAATATAATTTGACACATATAAAGTTGTTATGTTACTACGCTGGTCAAGAATTACAAGTCAAATGTTGTTTAACTAAAAAAATGTCAGCATTTTGCAACAACATTATAATTTTATCAGCATGACGTCATCATTTTGCACATTGAGTTACCACAATTCTAGTAAAATATGCGGTAAATGTGATCATTTTACAAGAATGAATGTCGGCAAAAGTTGTTGTCTTCCAAAGTACTGGTAGTATAAAAACGCTGGTGAGACAATTATTATTTTACAAGAAATACGTCAGCATTTTACAAAATAAATATTTTCATTTCATTGGCACATTTAAAGTCGTAATGTTACCGCACAGGTGAAATAGGAGATACATTTTATTTTAATCGAAGACTATCAGCATTTTATGATTGTAATTGTAAGAGTGTAAATTCGTCATTTTTCACGATTTAAATCGGAATGTTACCACAACTCTGGTGGAATGTTATGAGATGGATGGCGTCAGATTGTATTAAGTCAGCGTTTCCACGGACAACACGCCTATTCGGGGGTGTTCCGATTCAAAACGCGATCACCTATTTGTGGCTGCAACTAGACGATTTTGGGTTTCAGAAGAAAATAAATCTTATTTTGGAACAGTTTAAGTTGAAATGTGATCGACACAGGTGAAATATGTGACCATTTTACAAAAGATATGTCGACATTTGATGGGATTTTAAACCATGATTCATGTCAATATGTGCTCGTTCTGCTGCTGACCGTTGTCTGGATTGTGGTGGCTCGAATCATAAATTCTGCCGAAGATGAATTTGTCAGTTTCCAAGTGAATTGCTCTCCCGCCGATCGGAACGTCACCCGTCGTGTCTTCAGCGCTGTGGCAGACTTTGCCGTTTGGAAATTTGTTGGTCTTGGTGTTAATCTTGACCCCGTTGTTGTTGAGCCTGGTGTTGGACTTGGACCCGGGGTTGTTGTTGTAGCTGTTGTGGTTACGTTTAAGTCTGGTGTTGCACATGGACTGGTGGTTACTGTTGTGAGTTTGGTTGTTGGTGTGGAAGCTTGTGTTGTTTCTGGACTGGTTGTTAGTCTCGTGGGTGCTGCAGATGTTGTTGAGCTTGGTGTTGGACTTGGACCCGGGCTTGTTGTTGTAGCTGTTGTGGTTACGTTTAAGTCTGGTGTTGCACATGGACTGGTGGTTACTGTTGTGAGTTTGGTGGTTGGTGTGGAAGCTTGTGTTCTTTCTGGACTGGTTGTTGGTCTCGTGGGTGCTGCAGATGTTGTTGAGCTTGGTGTTGGACTTGGACCCGGGGTTGTTGTTGTAGCTGTTGTGGTTACGTTTAAGTCTGGTGTTGCACATGGACTGGTGGTTACTGTTGTGAGTTTGGTGGTTGGTGTGGAAGCTTGTGTTCTTTCTGGACTGGTTGTTGGTCTCGTGGGTGCTGCAGATGTTGTTGAGCTTGGTGTTGAACTTGGACCCGGGCTTGTTGTTGTAGCTGTTGTGGTTACGTTTAAGTCTGGTGTTGCACATGGACTGGTGGTTCCTGTTGTGAGTTTGGTGGTTGGTGTGGAAGCTTGTGTTCTTTCTGGACTGGTTGTTGGTCTCGTGGGTGCTGCGGATGTTGTTGAGCTTGGTGTTCCGCTTGGACCCGGGGTTGTTGTTGTAGCTGTTGTGGTTACGTTTAAGTCTGGTGTTGCACATGGACTGGCGGTTGTTGTGGTGACTTTGGTGGTTAGTGTGGAAGCTTGTGTTGTTTCTGGACTGGTTGTTGGTCTTATGGGTGCTGCAGATGTTGTTGAGCTTGATGTTGTACTTGGACCCAAGGTTGTTGTTGTAGCTGTTGTGTTTACGTTTAAGTCTGGTGTTGCACATGGACTGGCGGTTGTTGTGGCGACTTTGGTGGTTGGTGTGCAAGCGTGTGTTGTTTCTGGACTGATTGTTGGCCTCGTGGGTGCTGCAGATGTTGAGTTTGGTGTTGCACTTGGACCCGGGGTTGTTGTTGTAGCTGTTGTGGTTACGTTTAAGTCTGGTGTTGCACATGGACTGGCGGTTGTTGTGGTGACTTTGGTGGTTGGTGTTGGACTTTGTGTTGTTTCTGGACTGGTTATTGGTCTCGTGGGTGCTGCAGATGTTGTTGAGCCTGGTGTTGCACTTGGACCAGGGGTTGTTGTTGTAGCTGTTTTGGTTACGTTTAAGTCTGGTGTTGCACATGGACTGGCGGTTGTTGTGGTGACTTTTTCAGTTGGTGTTGAACTTGGAGTTGTTTCTGGACTGGTTGTTGGTCTCGTGGGTGCTGTGGTTGAAGTTGAGCCTGATGTTGGACTTGGACTGGTTGTTGTTGTCTTAGTTGCTGCGGATGTTGTTGAGTCTGGTGTTGGATTTTGACAAGCTGTTGTTGTCTTGGTTTCTGCGGTTGTTGTTGAGCCTGGTGTTGCACATGGACTGGCGGTTGTTGTGGTGACTTCGGTGGTTGGTGTTGGACCTTGTGTTGTTTCTGGACTGGTTGTTGGCCTCGTGGGTGCTGCAGATGTTGAGTCTGGTGTTGCACTTGGACCCGGGGTTGTTGTTGTAGCTGTTGTGGTTACGTTTGAATCCGGTGTTGCACATGGACTGGCGGTTGTTGTGGCGACTTTGGTGGTTGGTGTGCAAGCGTGTCTTGTTTCTGGACTGGTTGTTGGTCTCATGGGTGCTGCAGATGTTGCTGAGCTTGATGTTGTACTTGGACCCAAGGGTGTTGTTGTAGCTGTTGTGGTTACGTTTGAATCCGGGGTTGCACATGGACTGGCGGGTGTTGTGGCGACTTTGGTGGTTGGTGTGCAAGCGTGTCTTGTTTCTGGACTGGTTGTTGGTCTCATGGGTGCTGCAGATGTTGCTGAGCTTGATGTTGTACTTGGACCCAAGGGTGTTGTTGTAGCTGTTGTGGTTACGTTTGAATCCGGGGTTGCACATGGACTGGCGGGTGTTGTGGCGACTTTGGTGGTTGGTGTGCAAGCGTGTCTTGTTTCTGGACTGGTTGTTGGTCTCATGGGTGCTGCAGATGTTGCTGAGCTTGATGTTGTACTTGGACCCAAGGGTGTTGTTGTAGCTGTTGTGGTTACGTTTGAATCCGGGGTTGCACATGGACTGGCGGGTGTTGTGGCGACTTTGGTGGTTGGTGTGCAAGCGTGTCTTGTTTCTGGACTGGTTGTTGGTCTCATGGGTGCTGCAGATGTTGCTGAGCTTGATGTTGTACTTGGACCCAAGGGTGTTGTTGTAGCTGTTGTGGTTACGTTTGAATCCGGGGTTGCACATGGACTGGCGGGTGTTGTGGCGACTTTGGTGGTTGGTGTGCAAGCGTGTCTTGTTTCTGGACTGGTTGTTGGTCTCATGGGTGCTGCAGATGTTGCTGAGCTTGATGTTGTACTTGGACCCAAGGGTGTTGTTGTAGCTGTTGTGGTTACGTTTGAATCCGGGGTTGCACATGGACTGGCGGGTGTTGTGGCGACTTTGGTGGTTGGTGTGCAAGCGTGTCTTGTTTCTGGACTGGTTGTTGGTCTCATGGGTGCTGCAGATGTTGCTGAGCTTGATGTTGTACTTGGAGCCAAGGTTGTTGTTGTAGCTGTTTTGGTTACGTTTAAGTTTGGTGTTGCACCTGGACTGGCGGTTGTTGTGGTGACGTTTTCAGTTGGTGTTGAACTTTGAGTTGTTTCTGGACTGGTTATTGGTCTCATGGGTGCTCTGGTTGAGGTTGAGCTTGATGTTGGACTTGGATTGGTTGTTGTTGCCTTGGTTGCTGGGGATGTTGTTGAGCTTGGTGTTGGACTTGGACCTGGGATTGTTGTTGTAGCTGTTGTGGTTACGTTTGAATCCGGTGTTGCACATGGACTGGTGGTTGTTGTGGTGACGTTTTCAGTTGGTGTTGAACTTTGAGTTGTTTCTGGACTGGTTGTTGGTCTCGTGGGTGCTGCAGATGTTGTTGAGCTTGATGTTGTACTTGGACCCATGGTTGTTGTTGTAGCTATTGTGGTTACGTTTAAGTCTAGTGTTGCACATGGACTGGCTGTTGTTGTGGTGACGTTTTCAGTTGGTGTTGAACTTTGAGTTGTTTCTGGATTGGCTATTGGTCTCATGGGTGCTGCGGATGTCGTTGAGCCTGATTTCATCCCTGGACCTGCGGTTGTTGGCGCGACTTCAGCAGTTGGTGTTGAGTTTGCTGTTGTACTTGTGACTGTGGTTGTTGTTGTGCCTGCTGCGGATGCTGTTGAGCCTGGTATCATACTTGGACCCGCTGTTGTTGTCGCTGCTGCTGTGGTTGGTTTTGTGCTTGGTGTGCTTTGATTGGCAGCTGTTGTTTCTTCTGTTGCCTTAAGTGTTGTCGTTGGACCGCTGGTTGTTTTTTCAACGGCTGCGGTCTGTATTAAACCTGGTGTTAAACTTTCACCGGCAGTTGTTGTTGCTACTGCTGCGGTTGTAATTGAGCCTTGATTTCTACAATGACTAGCGGTTGTTGTTGTGGCTGCTGCAGTTGGTGCTGGCCGTTGTGGTGTGTTTTGATTGGCAGCTGTTGTTTCTTCTGCTGCCTTCGGTGTTGTCGTTGGACTGGTGGTTGATTTTGCAATGACTGTGGTCGGTATTAAACCTGGTGTTGGACTTTCACCGGCAGTTGTTGTCGTTACTGCCACGGTTGTAATTGAGCCTTGATTTAAATTTAGACGAGCCGTTGTTGCGGCTGCTGTGGTTGATATGGTGAAGATGTGAAGAGCAAAAAGATTAGTCGGCTACATTTCAAGTGACCCGTCATTTGCTTCATTGCACAGAAAGAGCAGATTTACCAAAAAGCAGAAGCACAGCTGATAACCGTAGTGCAGCAGTCATTGTTTCTGTCCTTGATTCTACAAAAAAAAACAAAAATAAAAACAGTCAATTCAAGAAAATGAACAGTCACTTTTATTTAAATACTTTTTGCACTTAGGTTGTCATGGTTCTGTTGGTGGCCAACAGGTGGCACTGTAGGGCTCCGCCTGCAGCTGCACACCTGTTGGTGATTGTGTCATTAGTTGTTTGTTTAAAAGGACTCCCGGCACGACCACTCAGTGTTGGGTCATTGTTGCCGTTTGTTTGTTGCTGTTTGTTGTTGTGTGCATGTGTCATGTTTTGTTTTCTGTTCTACGTTTTTTGCTACTTTGATTTTGCTGGACTTTATTCGAGTGAGTTTTTGGAGTTTGTTTCCCCGATGTACTCCGGTTTGTGTTTTTGTTAAATACATTTTGGTCAATGCACCCTGCTCCTCCCTGCCTCCCTGCTTTTTGGGGTCCTCCAACTACCACCTCGCAAAACATGACATAGGTCTCTTTTTTTTTAATTTTTTTTATTCCTTTCAATTTCATGTTCTGATGCTGTTTGGTGTCAATGAAAGTTGTAGTTTTCACGCTTTTGCCCAAAATGTGAATTTATGTCGACATCTTCCACATCTTCGGTTTCAAGATTTTTATGATTTAAAAAAACAAATGAAATAAAATTGAGGAAACATTTTTGTTCATGAAATAAAATTAAAATGGGAAAAAACCAAAAAGAATACTAACTGAAATTAATACTGCAGCATCTTTTCTTGTTTGAAGCACATTGAGGGCCGAATTCCCGAAAGGATTGTGCGGCTTTTGCGTCTAGCTCGTAGGCCAAAGTTGAGTAAACATGTTGCATCTAATTCACCAGGCATGCGTCGAATTACATCGGCGTCCAACTTTGTGGCCGTGTTTGCGCCGGTGTTTTATTTGCGCAGTCTCCTTTGTGAATCAGACATTCTGACGGCAGTAAACTGTTGGTACAAATTAGGTGCACTTAAAAGTGCGATCAAGCACCGCAGATCATTCTTTGTAAATTTGGCCCAGAGTTGCACATTGTATAAAATGTGACTAACTAAAATGAAGTGTAATTGCAGCAAAAATATCCATTGTTTTTGACTTTGTCAATTAATATTCCGTCCATGAGCTGTCGAGTATTTCTTTCGGTCTTGCTGTCCGCTTGAATAGAAGAAGGAAGCTCAAACAGTCGTTTGAGAATTGTTGTTTACTTTATTGCGCAATACTTTGTGACCTTGTGTTTGGTTTCTTGCTCCGCACAAATAAATACTCCATATGTTTTAAAAAAACGAATGAAAACTAAACTAAAACAAAGAATGCAAAACAGCATATACACCACTCAAAACAAAGCTGCTCTTAAAACAAATTAAAATTCACTGAACTAAAAAAAAAAAAAAATGCAAAATGAAATAAACCTATCATGAAAAATCCAAAACAAATGGCAACTCTGGTGTCATTTCAGCATTCTATTCCACAATATTGCACTTTTGTTCATATTTTATTTCAATTTGACCAATTATTTCTCTTGAACCCTTTCATGCACCCTGTAACCTGATAGCATGATAAGCTGTCCACTGCAGTAACTGCTGTCCCCGAAAGGGTTCAAGAATGTCATTTATTTAATGAACACATAAAATGTTTTTATTCAAGATGTGTTTGAATTACAGTGTCTTGTAAAATTAAATATATTGCTACATAATTTTAAAAAATCCAAATTTTCATCCATCCATGAAATACATAAAAAAAAAAATCTAAATGTTCAAAATGGGGTTTTATGCAAATCATGGTGAAGTTAGAGTTTTTAAAGGCGCCCACTATATTGCAAAGCTGTTCAATATAATGAGGGAAAAATATATATTTATGTACAGGTATAATTAGATTATAGTTTACTTAAACATACAATGTGAAAGTAGTCAAACACCGTTGCTTCTACCAAGTCACAGACTGAAAAAAAAAATCAAAAATGTTTTATGTGGTTTATACATCATTGAAATTCTTAATTTAAAAGTGTCCTTCAAATGTTACTTGAAATATTGATTTTTTGTCATGCCCCCCCCCAAAAAAAAAAAAAAAAACAAGAAGAAAAAAATTATTATAATGGCTGGAAATGGAAAAAGCACTTACCACTTCCAGTTGTTGTTATTGTCGTTGATTTCTACTTTTATATCTGCATAGTTATAACATCGAAGAATATGGTTTTGTCCTCGCACTTGGTCTCCTGTGATTTGTAGTTGCATGTGTGTTTTATACAAAGAGAGATGAAGAGGCTTAACGGATGTTACGTGGCTCCCAAATTGTGCTGAAGGTTTCATCGCATCAAATGATCAACGGTGAGAAGCGAAAGAACTCAAACTGCCCCAACCACCGTCATTTCCTAGTGCGTTTCCCAGGTTACTTCTTAAGATAATAAGGGATGCATTCCACTTGCGTCAACCAAAGCATGCATTAATTTTTACTGTTATTTTTATTTTTTTGGGGGTGGAGTCCAGCTCCAGTTTTGCAGTTTTTGTGATGCAAATCATGCTTGCTGGTCAACCAGTTTGGGTTGGCACGTGTTTGCCCACCTCCCAGCCCAGACCTTGCCCCATTGCGATTTCCACCTCTTTGGTACCCCTCAAAGATTTTGTAAGTGGAACACAGTTTCAAGATTCTTAGCACTGTGGCGTAAGGGTCAATCCAAAGAATTCTACACAGAAGATACACACAACCCCGGACGTCAATGGCAGAAATGTGGCGCAGCACTGAGAGAAATCAAGCATCTGTCTCGATTAGAAACGTCACCTTGATATACTGAGTGGCCCTCGTAAAAATGTTTGGGAGCATGCTGCGCTTCTTGTAATCCTTCCTTAACTTTTAATCTAACTGTAAACTAGATAGGCCGGACAGATTATGTAAAAAAATGTGGATGTACCAAACAACCACTATGAAGGCGATAAGGGCTTTCATTTGATTCTGCCGCTATCGCTACGATGTGGTTGCATGTGTTAAGAGTTTAGTATTTGTTCAAGTGCATTTCTTTTGTCTAACAGAGCCACAGTCGTTTTTTTTATTTATTTCTTTTTTTTTTTAAGATATTTTATTGTTCTACATTTCAAAACAAATGTTCAATGTCCTTGAGAATGGAATGATGAATTTCATTTCAAAATGATTACTTCATTATGATCACATTTGCTCTCACATCACTATATGAGTGGAATTTTAAAGAAGCCAGACCATCGTTTATCGCGATAGTTTCTGGGAAAATATATCATCCGGAAACATTTTATCGTGACAGGTTTATCCATAAGCAGATTTTAGGATACATGACAAAATTCTCTGTGTTCACCCTTTCAGGGACAGCGGTTACTGCAGTGGACAGCTCTTCATGTTATCAGCTTACAGGGTGGATGAAAGGGTTAACGTTGAATTTGCATTCGGCAATTCTACTGACATGGCATGCATTTGCATTTCTGCACGCAAAAATGGGAACCCGTGCAGCAAAACAGCGCATGTGTATATAGTGATGACCAAAAAAAAAAAAAAAAAAGGATTAGATTCAACACATCACATTTGTCAAGGTGTGTCTTTTTGGAGGAAATATTTGGTTTCTTTGAGCCTCTTTTTGTGGACGGAATTGGCAGAAGAGCGCTGTTGTTATCATGTGGGAACGGATTGTGACGCGTGCAGGCACGCTCTTGCTTCCGGCGTGGCCATCGTACCAATCTGGAAGTTAGTTTCCACCTTCAATTGTCTTATTTACATTAAAAAGTTGGAAATCAGATCAAGGATTTGGGTGGAAAGTTGCTTTCCTGTGATGTTTCAAAAAAATTTTAATAATATTTCATTAATTTCTCACTTTCTGTATTGGCTTTAAATAAAACATTTAATTGTCTTACATTTTGTCTACAAAGTTTTGTTGCACCCACTATTCTAAAATTTATATTAAATCAAATTCTTTTATTTTAATTATTTATGTATTTATCTATTTTTTTGCAGGGGGCCCCAAAACTGTTTATTTTCAGCAAAATCTTATGAATATGTAAAAAACAATTGGTTTATTCTGTACATATTTGACCAATACATGATTTATTTGAATATTTTTTCTACTTAGAAACATGTTTTTTTTTGTTCCATTTCAATTACAAAATGAAAGTGAAAACAAATGGGTGGTTTCCAAGCTAAAAAAAAACCCACACCCTGAAAAAACTCAACATAGACCAGCATAGTTTGGTTGTTTTCATGCCAATCTTGCTTGTGTCAACAACCTGCTTGATGAAGTGAGCCACACCCGTCCAGCGGGGCCAGCATGTTGCTTGGTCTCTGCCAGGAGCTTTTGTGGGAGCTGGTGTCGCCAGTTACCAGCACGCCACCAACAGCATGTTGGTCTTGCCAGGTTCCTGTGGCTCAGGTGCTCGAGCACGGTCGCCCAATGACCGGTGTTGAATCTTGGCTACTTTTGCTGGAGACGCCAGCGAGACCAGCACACACTGCTGTTGCCATTCGAGTCGCCGGTGACACCAGCAAGACCGGCACGAAAACACAACAAAACAAAACCATCCATCCATTTTCCAATCCGCTTATCCTCACAAGGGTCGCGGGGTGTGTTGGAGCCTATCCCAGCTGTCTTCAGGCAGTAGGCGGGGGACACCCTGATCCGGTTGCCAGCCAATCGCAGGGCACACAGAGACAAACAACCAACTGTGCTCACACTCACACCGAGGAACAATTTTGAGTGTTCATTCAGCCTGCCATGCATGTTTTTGGAATGTGGGAGGAAACCGGAGTACCCGGAGAAAAAACCCACGCGGGCACGGGGAGAACATGCAAACTCCACACAGGGAGGCTGGAGCTGGAATTGAACCCTCTACACTGTGAGGTCGACGCGCTAACCACTGGTCCACCGGGCCACCATATTTATTTATTTATGTACAGTATGTATGTACTGTATTTATTTATTTGCAGGGTTGCAGATGACTGAGGCAGAGCCACGTCAAAGTTTTATCAACCTTTCTGTTTGATTTTAGCTGCAGATTGTTGTCTAGCAACCAGTCTTGCTCTGGCCGGCTGGGGCATTGTGCCTGGCCTCCATCCAAGTGGCCATTTTGTTTTTCGTTTGGAAACTACATTGAATTGATGTGATGTTTCCCGGGTGCAATTTTTGGCAATAGAGAAAGCAAACCTCGCACCTACAAAAATAAATACACTTGATGGAAGCGAATCGTCCAGAAATGACCTAAAAATTGACAACCACTTTCACAATTTTGGCGACCGGAATGAGGACCCACACAGCTAATCACACATTCGTGTTCATGAATTTCTCATTACAATAGGGGAGAAGGTAACTTGAGGTCCAACAATGGAGTATGCTGAGGAGCTTTATGGATGAGTTGACCAACGCCCTCCCATAAATTCTGGGGTTGGATGACATTTGAGGCAAGAAAGTCAAGGAGCATGATTATCTGCAAAGGGAAGGTCACGGACATGTTTAATCTGCTCATACAAGATGAGGTAATTCTACCCCGTCAAGGACTATCAAATCAAGTGTCTGGGAAAGTGGTGTGGTGAGTCACAGAAGAACAGAAATAATGTCCGCAGCGGTGAGAAACAGTTGGAGGAATGGCTTGCAGAACATTGAGAAATCTGGACTCCCTGGAAAGTTCCAAGGATTTCTATTGGCTCATGAGTGCAACATATAACAGAATGCCAGAAGAACAACAAAGGAGTGCGGTTAAATGTCACTTTTTTTTTTTTTTTGCCCAACTGAGATCAAGCAAAGAAACAAACAAAAAAGAGCTGGAGAACCCTACCATAAGGGAAAATAATTGTGGCCAACACAGGACCACGCCAAATATAAATGTTGTCACATCCAAGGTTGTCCCCCCTAATCTAAAAAAAGGCAATAATCTAGATCAGGGGTGCCCAATGCGTTGATCGCGATCGATTGGTAGTTTGCCGACTCGTCCCAAGTCCATCACGAGGGGTTCGAGGGGAACATAACAAAAGATTTGTGTGACTGTGTGCGTGTTATTAATATGATATATTTTTGTGTGACTGCACATTGCATCCTTAGCATCCTATCAGTCTTACTTTCACAAAAAGTATTTTAATGAATAAATACAATAAAATAAAAAAAGCAGGACACCTTTAACATGTGTGGCGTGACCCAGAAGTTGTTAGCGGTCAGCAGTCTGGAATTGCAGCTAGCCATCAGAGCTGTTGCTCTCTCTCTTTTATTGTGACTATTATTCTCATTCGGAGTTTGTTTCATGTACAATTCACCGAGGACACTGTTAAGGAATGAGAATATGGACTCCCTGGGGAAGCATTTTAAAACGGTACATGTGAGATACGATCGTTAACACGCTGCCAACGTGCGTCCTGTGCCTCCGCGTCAGGTCTCGACGAAGGTAGGCAGACGCCATCTTGTGAGTTTGCTTTTCACAAACTCACAATCTTTTGTGTCTACTTAGTTTTTCTTTTTCTGTTTGTTTTATGGCTATTGCTCATCAGGCATCCGGGTGTAAGTGCGTGCGTGTGCGATCGCGGGAGGTGGGGTTGATCGAAAAGTAGATCTTTGGTCAAAAAAGGTTTGGCACCCCTATCTACCGATCTAGATTAACAGAGAAACAACGATTGAACGGCGGTACCGGTGGACACCGGCCCAAACTAAAACAAGAAAAGCACCAGCATGCGAGTCACACATGGAGCTGAGCAGAAAAGAAACAAAAAGTGGTGATGGGTCCTGCGCAGTTGACACATCAAGTTACGAAGACTGAAGCTTATGCGTCGCTGCGCCGATCGTTTGGAGGAAAAGTCATGTGACCGATACAGCCGCTCCATTGCCCAATCACAACCCGCTACTGAGAAGCCGAACTTTATCAGGAAGCCCATCAACCAACGGACGGCGTCTCTGCCTCATGAATCACACATCTTTTGAAGCTGAATTCTTCCCTTCAAGTCAGTGACGTGGTGATGCAGAGGAAGAAAGGATACCACCTTGTGGAACAATTTGGATATCAGATCGTTAAATAAACAATTTGTTTTCCATGATAGTTTCACTTTCTGTGCCTTGACAGGGTGTGTCATACAAAGTTTATGTTGAGAGGGAAGAAATTTCATCTGTACATACAGTACATTTGACAATAAAGTTTATCCAATCCAATCCAAAGAGGGTGGGCGACATTTAGCTCAACAGTCAGTCTATCTACCTAGCTTGGTAGCTAGCTAGCTTTTGTCTGTCTTCAGTTTTTTTTAGGCACTCCAGCCACATCAATACCCTTTTCTAAAGCTTGAGAAATTGCTGAAAAATAAGGAATCACTTTATTGCCAAAAACATGAAAAAACTTTTCTTTTTTAAATAAAAATATACAATGAAGAATAATTTTACAAAATGGCGTGCCTCAAACACATACTGTATACATACGCGACATCGGTTCACAATCAAAACACTTTCACTTTGATTTTCACATTCTGACATGTTCACATTATTTATTGACGCTATATTGAAAAGATACTTTAAACCTTAAATGTAGAAATAATACAAAATAACACAGTACAAAATTGTGGCATTGTTGGGTTTTTAACGATAAACAAAAGCATCAGCAAGATCATCTTTGTTGCTTTAATCACCATTCAGTCTGGCGGGCAGCAAAAAGCAGCCTTGAAGTGTAACTTGTTTTTTGTCTCTACCTGGTGGCAGGTGTGGAAACTATTTCACACCGAGTTTAGATTAGGTAATGAAAATAAAATATTACACTGGTCAACAAATTTGCAGTATTTTTTTAAAATCAGAGATGCAAGTAAACTTCTTGATGATTTAGAATTTTTCCTTGTTTTTTTTCTCTAGCACGTCAGGTTTTCATAATAGTAATAATAATAATACAATAGCATAATAAGGAATATTGTATTATGTTTAGTAATATTTATGAATTAAGGATTAGGTTTGGCAACAGGTCCAACGTTTTCTGAAACATAACTATAAATTACAACGCATGGTAAAACACATATATCGGTGAAACTTAAAAACACAACTTAAAATACATCAAAAACATGCGCCAGGAAAAAAATAATGACATTTTAAATCAGCATCAAATATATGTTAAGGATTATGTGTTATCATATAATATTAAATATTTTAAAATATATATTTTAAGTGTATTAACCCCGCTGAACCACAAGGTGGAGCCACAACTTATTTAACAGTACGTTTTGATTGAGCTGGGACTGATGCAGAAGAGTGGTGTGAATGTGGTCAATTCAAGTTTTACGTGTGTGGGAGTGTGCCTGTGTGTGAAATTCATCCAAGCAAATCAACAAATTCCAAAATGGCCTCTGTTGTTTATGGGGCCTCCAGCATCAGCAGACACATGCTTTGCCATAAAGTCTGTATGAAATAGCCTTTTTGAGCTCTTCTCTTTCTGCACCGGACATCGACGTGGCCGAGCAAGTTCAGTTAGTCACATGCATGCTACAAGTCTGCAAGACAAATATGTCGTCGAGTGTCGCTTGTATGCGACAAGCGAGATGAGCTTCTCACAAGGGCCGAGTCCTCTAAAGAGTGATGAGAGGAAGAGTTGACTGTGAGCATAAAGCGCCCTTGAGACTCATCTCGGAAGATGATGAGAAGGAAAAGGAGGAAGAGTTGCTCGCTACATGGAGAAGAAGCAAGACTGGGAAAATCCTGTGGTCTCCCAATTCCCACAAGTTCTGAGGCTCTGCAGAGGGAGTGAAAGTTTAGAAACTTGGAGTAACATTAGTGGAAGAATCACCAAGCCAAAGTTATAACATTGCTGTTTACAAGGTCAACATTTTACAGGAGTGTGTAGTACAAATCCATTTCAGGCTGTACAAGGAAAAACATTCTGCATTTTTTTAAAATAATAAACAACTTGTGATTTCACGAGAGTTTTTGAAAAATAATTTTAGAAGACAAATACCGTCATTTTACAAGGGTCAAGTCGGAATATTTTGAGAAAAACTTGGAAGTGACATGTACTGTATTTGATGGAACTTGGCCACAATGCACTCCATCTTGGATAACGCTGAAAAAGACAACCACTCTGTTGTTTGCCCGTGAATTCCTGACATATTTTATTTTGTTTTCCACAAGTTCTACCGGTTCACTCACAATCCGTCTGCTTTGGTGTTTTCAAAACAATCTCCACGGATATATCTGGGTTGCAGCTATCAAATATTTTGGTATTCGGATACCGTACTGAAAAATCGAGATAATTTAGTATTCAGATTTAGAAATATATATCTATATATTTTTGATTGGTTTAAAGAACACTTATGAAGACAAAAGAGAAATTAACACATTCCACTTATAAAAAAAATCAATAATGAATGACCAACTGGTTTTTGCCTTTTAGATAATCAACATTTTTGTAGTTCAATTTAAACTGTTCATACTGTATTTAGTTCTCTAGAAACATAAGTACGTGAGATTTTAGGTTATGAGATGAAGCGACGTCAGAACCACCGGAGCGATTTTGCTGACTAAAACAGCCCATTTGAGTAAGCTTGTTTTGTTAAAAATTGATCATTAGGAACTGCAACTTGATGTTTTAAACTGCCTTTGAAAACAAGTCCAACGGCTCTATCGGGCACTCGCTTAGCTAGCTGCTAGACATTAGCAGCTAACGCTGACAACAGGCGCTATTTAAACAATGTCAATGTCATTCATGAGAGATTGATTTTTTTTTTTTGAGTGATTAATTAACGACTGAACATCATTTCAGGATGACGTGTTGATATTGGTGGCAACAATTTGAGACGGCAGTATAAACTGGCAAAGTTACAGTTGGGAAGACAAGTGAAGGTCGGCACGACGCGCTTTCGAGAACTATTCCAAAATAAAAGTGTTTTAAGGCTTTTGATGTCCATGAATTGTTTGGTAAGTTTCGATTTATTTTGAAGTTACCGTCCTGCGTAGCGTGAAAATTTGTTGCTAGAGCTGACTTGACTGGACAGTCCACACCAAATAAACCTGTACCTGAGACATGAAAAAAAAATCCTTCAGCATTTTTTTTTTTTAAATCGAGGTCTCGAGAACTCGTTTCTCCCCTAGGATATATCAACGGAGTGTTGGACGAATGTGAACAGAAAAAACGCACATGATTAAATGTAGTCATGCTTTATTGTCATACACACAAAACAAGTACAGTGTCATTTAATGCAGTTAGTAAGGGTCTCCCAATACTTGTGTTCTCAGGAGGTTTGAGCCATCGATGTACACTTCTGACATTTTGCAAGAACCGCACCGCTATTTTTTCAGAAAATTCGTGATGTTTTTCAAGAAAAATTGGCTCAGTTTATGTTTCTCGGGGCAATGAATTGATCACAATTGGCCTGCTCTTTTTGTCTTTGTAGACGTTTCGCTTCTCATCCGAGAAGACTTCCTGATCAAAATACTGTCATTTTACAAGAAAAATGTTGGCATGTTACAATAAAAATGTCACAATTTGCCACATTTAAAGTTGAAATACTACCATACTGGTGAAATATGAGACAAATGTTATCATTTAATAAGAAAATCTTGTCATTATCGGGAAAAATGTTGACGTTTTGTTCGAAAATTCCATTTAATCCCCCCCCCCAAAAAAGCCATTTTACAAGAACAATTGCACTTTAAAGGTTAGGCGTGAAGTAAACTTGGCCAACTATCTTTTCAGTAAAACTATTCCAAGCATGCTTTTTCACGCGACCCACCTGGGTTCATAGTTAGACCCACAGCGACACGCTTAACAACAAAAATGCTTTTGTTCAGCGAGTTACATCATTTACAGAATGCCAAGTCATCAATCAATCAGCCATTGTACTGCATTGTCGATTGTTATCGAGTGATTCGGCAAAATGTTCATATGCAGGCAAAAGAATAGGGCACGTAAATGGACCAGAAAACTGGAGCGATACGGTTTCGTTCTTGCAAAGCGAGAATGAATTTCACGCCGGTGTCGACGAGCATTATTTTGTCACAAGCACTTTGAGGACAACTGTTTTCTCAACAGGATCTGAAAAAAAGTACATCATGTGCAGAGTGGCCGACAGCGCAAGAAAACTAGCTTGGCAATGACAATGTAGGACACCAACCCACTACAACGTGTGCTCTCAGTGCTAGTTGCTAGTTGTGTCTAGCCGTTCAGGCATAACATTTTCCGCATCCTAAGCATCTGGCTCGTACATATCTGTTCGACCGCACCTCCCCTTCCTCCAACCCTTCATACACCCGGATCCCCTCAGATAAGTTTAAAACGTCGCTTTCCGAATCGATTTCTGACTGGATTTGTACACTTTCGATCGTGAGGCCCGCCATTGTTGTCTTGAGGTGACGTCACACTTTCGGGGTTGACGCTTGTCAGGATCTCACTTCGGCGAAAATATTACTTTGTCAAATTACGAAACAGATTTTTTTTTCATTCTTTGGTGAATGTGTTTAATTACTTGACGTAAAAATATTTCGTTTGGCATTTTCGAAAGTTACTTCACAGTTGACCTTTAAAAGTCATATAGCTGGTGCCCTTCAAGACAGGTGTTGGCAAAAACATTATTATTATTGTTGTATTTTATTTTTATGAAAGCAAATGTTAATTTTGCTCAGTTATAGTTGAGTAGCACAATCGTAGTTACCCACGTGAAATACTAAAAGACAAATTGTTAGCATTTTTCAAGAGCAATTTCATAATTTGGCGTATTTAAACTTGTCGTGTGACCACTCATGATTTTGTTCCGCGTGATATAAACTAAGCAGTACATGTCATATAGGCATATCTTCCCTCGGACGTGAAAAAAAAAAAGTTCACAATAATTAATTATTCATCATTGCTGCTTTGCCAATAACCATGACAACAGCACCAGGCAGCACGTGCTGAACACGGTTGTTTTGTGCATTGATCCACTTGAAACCTCTGCAAAACAAAACACAACAACACAGAAACAAAGAGTCATTGATTGATTTAACTCATGCGAATGGGAAATGGACGCTTTCTGAATAACTTACGCTCGCCATTCACAAATATGAACGATGTGTCCACGTCAAAGGCCGTGATGATGGCCGCGGCCTCCACCAAAACGCGAGCGATGGCGCTGTTGTCGGGCACCGAGCTGGATACAAAACTCAAATCCATGTTGGTGATGATGGAGCCGTTCCTGCCAAATGGAAAAGATACACTCATTAGGGATGTTTGATGCTATTTTATTTTCAGAGCGATGCTAGTACAAGTATTCACTCTGAGTGCTCAGCGATACCAAGTACTGATACCGTGAATACTGATACCGTGAGTACTTTTGATACACAGAATTCCATTTAACACAATGACAAAAATTGTGAACAAAGACCTTATAACAGGATAGCGTAAGCTACGTAGAGGAGGGCTTACTCGATGTCAAATTAATTTTTCTTTTAGCTGGTATCAGCAGCCTCCACGAGTACCTGATACCTAAAAATGAGGCCAGCACTGGTATTCACCCGTCCCTAATTATTAGTACCATCATTGTTTCAGTCATCAGCACCTGAAGCGACAACTGACCTGAATGAAGTCACTTCCAGTGTTCGGAATGAGGTGAATGCTCTTCGGTAGAAAGGTTCAAGCTGTGAAAACACCAGCAAAGAATGAAGACGTAATACTGACAAAATACAAATGAGTACTGAAAAAAATGTCGGCATTCTCACAATTTTTTCCATGTAAAAGTCAAATACTGATGAAGTCGTATGAGGCAAATGTTGGCATTTCACAAAAATTAAATATTTCAAGAAACATGTTGTCATATATATATATATATATATATATATATCCCAGTGGTTCTTAACCTGGGTTCGATCAAACCCTAGGGATTCGGTGTATCGGTCTCAGGGGTTCGACAGAAGAGTAAGACACATGGAGAGTAAGACACATGCGACTCAACATGTTAATTAGTTATGACACGCCCACTTGGCCATCACTGGCTGCCGATGATCACATGACATTGCTTGTCCAATCAGTGCTGTGGGAAATTTAGTTGACTTCGTAGTCAAAGTGTGACTGTCGTGATAGTACGTTAAAAAAAAAGTATACTTATCTCTTGAAATTGTATTTACTTTTTTCTGTTTTTAATAAATGCGTTTTTTTAAAATATCGTGAATTTGTAAAAAATATATTTATTTTTCACTCATGAAGGGTTCGGTGAATGTGCATATTAACTGGTTCGGTTCGGTACCTCTGAAAAGGTTAAGAACCACTGTTATATCCTGTAATTTGGCACATTTAAAGTTGTAATCTCACGATCAGAAATGGTCATTTTGCACGATTCAAGTCAGAATGTCACCACAACTATCGTGAAATACTAACTGGATGGATGGTATTGTACAAGGTAAAGGTCAGATTCTATAAGACAATATTTATCATATCATATACGTTTTGGCACCGCCACGGTGTTTTCCATTCCGACCCAGGCCGTGGGGGGCCTGTGTTAAAGTTCAAATCTTACCAACACTGGTCAAATCTGAGACAAATGTTAGCATTTTAAAAGAGAAATGTCGACATTTGACAGGATTTCAAAAAAGTTTTCATATCCGTAGGTGCTAGCTCTGGTGCTTACCGTTGTCTTGACCGTGGAAGCCCGCCTGATAAATGCTGCGGAAGATGAATTCAGCAAGTCGTTGGTGAACTGCTCTCTCACCGATCTGAACGTCACTCGTCGCATCGTGAGCGCCTCGGCAGGGGTTACCCTCGTCACCGGCGCAACGGTTGTCGTGACTCTCACTGGAATATCAATCGCAGATCAGTTAGCGGATGAATTCGGAAGTGGGTCCGGACGGGATGAACGATAACTTACCAGCAGCTTGTATCGACTCCTCATCAAAGGTGAGGTTGAAGTTGTTGTTGGGGTCGGACACGGCCTCTCTTAACGTTTTGGCCACGTTTTCTGCGCTGGGAATTGATTCGCCTGTTGTGGTGTCGTCGTCGAACTCGATGTCCACTTCTGCCTCGGTGTTGTCCACTCGGACCCGGCCCACAGAGCGCCTGTGTTAGCGATGCGTTATCGGTATTGTTACATGACGACATCCGTATCGGTATGGAGGCGATGTTTACCTGAAACCTCGAACGACGCAGCGTCTATATGTTGTGTACCTCCTTCTGTAAATGACGTCATACTTTGACGAGAATGCAAACGTTAGCTTCAGTGATGCCATACCATGAAACACCAAACCAACATTGTACTCACCACTAAGAAGATTCTTCGAGCGAGAACAATAAATTGTGGACTGTTGGGGTCAGCCAGTGCTGGTACAAATGGTTCAAACACGACCACAACAACAACAACTACAACCCTAACAACAACAGGGGGTGGTGCACGGCTTGTGGTGGTCGTTGTTGCCGTGGTTGTCGTTGTGGTAGCTGGAGTGGTGGTGGTTGCTACTACGACTGTTGTCTTTGGACTTGTTACGACTACTGTGGTTGATGTTGCATTTAGTTGTTTCGTTGTTGTTGCTAAGGCTGTTGTAGTTGTGGTCACTGTCGCACCGCCGGTGGTTATCAAAGCCCGAGTCGTTGCTGCATCTCTGGTTGTCGGTGTTGTCGTGCCGCTGGTTGCTGACACTCCTCTGGTTGTCGTGGCACCAAAGATCGTTGTCGCATTGCCGATTGTTGTTGCACCTCCGTTTGTTGTCCCATTGCTGGTCGTTGTCGTAACTTTGATTGTTGTCACACCCACAGTTGTTGTCGCTGCACTGGTTGTTGCTGCTACTCTGGTGGTTGTGGCAAATCCAGTGGCTGTTGCATCCCTGGTCGTTGTTGGACGTCCGGTCGTTGTCACACCTCCAGTCGTCGTCACATTCCCCGTCGTTGCTGCATCTCCGGTTGTTGGTGTTGTCGTGTTTCCAGCTGTTGTCGTGCCACTGGTTGCTGACACTCCTGTGGTTGTTGTGGCACCAAAGATCGTTGTCGCATTGCCGATTGTTGTTGCAACTCCGTTTGTTGTCCCATTACTGGTCGTTGTCGTAACTTTGATTGTTACAATGGCTGTTTCATCCATGGTTGTCGTTGGACGTCTGGTCGTTGTCACAACTCCAGTCGTCGTCACATTCCCCGTTGTTGTCTCGCTTTTGGTTGTTGATGCACCTCCGGTTGTTGTTGCAGCTCCAGTTGTTGTCCCTCCTCCAGGGGTTGCGTCACCAGTAGCTGTCACCTCCCCCTTTGTTGTCACACCTTCAGTAGTTGCCGCAACTTGAGTTGTTGTCGCACCTACGGGTGTTGTCACTGCTCTGATTGTTGTCTCAACTCCTGTTGTTGTTGCCCCTTCAGTTGTTGTTATGACTTTGGTTGTTAATGAGCCTCCAGTAGTTGTTGCGATTCCGGTTGCTGTTGCACCCTCGGTTGTTGCTTCTTGAGTTGTAGTTAAAACTCCAGTGGTTGCTGCACCATTATTTGTTGTTGCTACTCCGATTGTTGTTGCTACTCCGGTTGTTGTTGCTATTTCAGTTGTTGCTTCTCCAGTTGTAGTTAAAACTGCAGTGGTTGTTGCATCGCCAGCAGTTGCTATTCCGGTTGTTGTCTTTACTTCAGTTGCTGTTGCTAGCCCGGTTGTTGTCACAACTTCAGTTGTTGCTTCTCCAGTTGTAGTTAAAACTGCATTGGTTGTTGCATCGCCAGTTGTTGCTACTCCGGTTGTTGTCTCTACTTCAGTTGTTGTCACTATTCCGGTTGTTGTTGTTATTCCAGTTGTTATCACAACTTCAGTTGTTGGTTCTCCAGTTGTAGTTAAAACTGCAGTAGTTGTTGCATCTCCAGTTGTCGCAACTCCGGTTGTTGTCTCTACTTCAGTTGTCGTTTCTTCTTCAGTTGTCACTATCCCGGTTGTTGTTGCTATTCCAGTTGTTGTCACAACTCCAGTTGTTGGTTCTCCAGTTGTAGTTAAAACTCCAGGGGTTGTTGCATCTCCAGTTGTCGCAACTCCAGTTGTCGTCTCTACTTCAGTTGTCGTTTCTTCTTCAGTTGTCACTATCCCGGTTGTTGTTGCTATTCCAGTTGTTGTCACAACTCCAGTTGTTGGTTCTCCAGTTGTAATTAAAACTCCAGTGGTTGTTGCATCGCCAGTTGTTGCTATTCCGGTTGTTGTCACAACTTCAGTTGTTTCTTCTCCAGTTGTAGTTAAAGCTGCAGTGGTTGTTGCATCTCCAGTTGTCGCAACTCCGGTTGTCGTCTCTACTTCAGTTGTCACTATCCCGGTTGTTGTTGTTATTCCAGTTGTTGTCACAACTTCAGCTGTTGTTTCTCCAGTTGTAGTGAAAACTCCAGTGGGTGTGGCATTGCCGGTTGTTGTCTCGAGTTCAGTTGTTGGCGCTATTCCGGCTGATGTCACTATTCCATTTGTCACTATTTCAGTTGTTGCTTCTCCAGTTGTAGTTAAAACTCCAGTGGCTGTTGCACCATCAGTTGCTGTAACTACTCCAATTGTTGTCACCACTTCAGTTGTTGGTTCTCCAGTTGTAGTGAAAACTCCAGTGGTTGTTGCATCGCCAGTTGTTGTCTCTACTTCAGTTGTTGTAGCCATTCCAGTTGTTGTATGTATTCCTGTTGCTGTAACAATTTGAGTGAAGATGTGAAGATCAGAAAAATTAGTTGTCTACCTTTTTAGTGACCAGTCATTTTCTTCACAGCACAGAAATGATTTACCGAAAAACAGGAGCAAAACTGATAGCCATGGTGCAGCTATCATTTTTTCTGTTCTTGAACCTGCAAAATGTGAACACACACTTAATCCCAAAAATGAAACAGTCACTTTTATTCAGATACTTTTTGCAGTTGTGTTTCAATGTTATCTAAAGTTCTGGTGCTATTTGGTATGAAGAAATCAGATTATGGCGGCACGGGGCTCCACTGGTGAGCACGTCCACCTCACAGTGGCGAGGTGAGAATCTCTCTCTCTCTCTCTCTCTCCTTGTGTCATAGTATCGACAAGATTTCCGACCCGGCCCGACGAATCCGACAAACTTTTCCAAAATGGACCACCCTAATAAATATATATATATATATATATTTATGTATGTATGTATGTGTGTGTGTGTGTGTGTATTCCATTCGATGTAGAAAAAAATGCACTTACCTCTCAGTCTCAAATTGAAAGACACCTGAAAATAAATAAATAAATATAAAATACCAAATAACAGTGTCTTGTACATAATTAGATATTTATGAAATATTCAATGAAAAAGTGTTGTCAGGTTTATAAAATATGAACATTTTATTATAAAAGTTTTACACTGAAAAATCACGTACCTCGACTTGTTGTTTTTTGCTCTTACAATTTTTTTTTTTAATATATCGGCATAGTAATAAAACAGATGTCTCTAGGTTTATCCACTCTGCTGGGTTGCCCCGTCTTCTTGTGGTCTCTTGTGTTCGCAAGTATAGGGGCTTGTGTCCTTATATGAGGAAGGTGAAGGGAAGTGACGCTGGTCACAAATTGTGCCGAAGGTTTCGTGGCATGAAGTGATGCTGACAGAGAGAACAAAAGAAACAAAACTGCTCCAACCACTATAATTTCTTTTGTGCTTTCCGCCGGTCACTGTGCATTCCACTCACGTCAACCAACTTGAGGATATTTTTATTGAAAACATGCAACAATGTTGTTTTGTTTTTTTGGGTGGGGCGGAGGGGGGGGGGCTGTGTGTTACAACTGGTCTAGTTTTGGATGGCAAAGGAATTTAGCAGGGGGGGGCGGTTGAAATGGTAACCTATGCAGCAAAACAACACACATACATCATGACTACCATAAATGATCAATTATAAATTCTAAGACTAAACACATACATGTCATCTTTATTGTTTTGCTGTTGAATTTGCTTTGGAGAAATAGACTGACATGCAAGCTGAAAACACACACACACACACACACACACACACACACACACAGACTAATTGCGAGAACAAACAAATGCATAAATGTCATATTTAACCCATTTAATCCCATCAGTCACATTTGTGAAGGACAACAATGATTTAATTTACAGAACTCTAAAATTTTTTATGACTGATTATTTAAAAGGGCTACCAATGACACCTGATTTTGACTTTTAAATGTCTGGGATAAACTTGGGATTAAATGGGTTAATGTTTGAGTGTCACATTTTCATATTGGAAATATACTGACATGCCAGTTGGCGACAGAAGTGGGATCCAGGCAGAACATCAATGCACGTGTAGGTCTTATGGAACAGGTAGACGGGAAATTTTAATGGAGCCTCGGATAGATGGTGAAAAGGCACACGCACATGAACATTTGCTAAGGTGTGTCTTATCTGAGGAACGATTTTGTTTCTTTGAGTCCTTTTTGTGTGAAGAAGGAAAGACATGACGGAAGTATGACGTCTCTGTTTGCCATACGGGGCCATTGTCTGATCCGTGCAGGCATACCTTCACTCCCATTGACAATTAATTTTCCTTGTTCCTCTTGTGAAGTTCACATTAAAATAATTCATTTTCTGACCTTTTTCTCAAATGGTTATGATTTTTTTTTTTTTTTTGCAGGGGGCAATACGTTTTAATTTAAATATTAGGAATATTTTTAAAAATCGATTAGTACTGAATAAATATTTCACCAATACATAATTTCTGTTTTGATTTTGTTTTCTTATTTTACTTTTATGAAAAAAGATGAATTTTGGTTGAATGTTTTTCTTTTCAAAATAAAGTTTTTTTTTCCCATTTAAATGTAAATGTTTTGGATCGCAAATCTTTACAATCGACTCGTGATATATTAATATTTTTAAACAAATGTTCCTTTCTTTCTTTTGTTAAATTAAAAAAGTGGTCTTATTATCAAATATTTTTAAAACAAACTTCTTTAAGTTTGAATGTTGATGACTTTTTTTCATAAATGTCATGTATCCCAAGTATTGTTTTTTAAACAAGACATTTCTTCAGTGTTGTTTCGTTTTACATTTTTTTCTTTACATTTAACATTCATATTACAATGAAAACGAATTCTGACTGATGCAAGTTGACTTTGGAGTTTGCTAACTCTCTTTTATGAATTATGAATGTTTGCCTTGGATATATATGGTTTGACCCTCGGCCAGAACATTTCCATCTTCAAAATAGCTCATCACTTCTATTTAGCCTTTGCATGACAATTACAATTCAAAAGATTTTTTTTGAATGGTTTATCTTGATGATTAATGCAATATAACGATTACTTACATCTTCTGAATGCTGGTTTTGACCGAAAGTCAACTCTCCCTTCGATTCCTGACAGTTTGCCAAATTCAACCATTTTGATTTTGATGAGATATGCTGACACTGTTATCAACAACAGAATTGCTGTCATCATCTTCATTTTCATAGTTTGAATCGCTGTTCGTAGAGCGGGCGGCCTGAAAGCTAAGAAACAACCTTGGATGAGAAAGAAACTTTAGCGCCGTATCAGTCAAAGTCCAACCATCTGTCAAGATGTTCTGAAATGTAGCACAATAGATGTATCACTTTCTGTCAATTTGAAAGTCACTTTTGGGGCTATTTTGGTGAGAGGTTAACTCTGGTTTCATGAGCGCTGTCATCTTGGGAATGGAAGTTGAATGATGCATCAGGAAAAGGACTATGCGCAATAATGAGCTGCCATTCTCAAAATTAAAGCTATACCTTAATTTAGACCCCTATTCTGAATCATAGGCCTTTGCTTAGAACATTTCAATCCCCAAAATGTTGCCCTGGTCTATTTTTGGTCTTAGTGCTTTAAAAAAAAAAAGGAAACCAGTTGGGTGATTAATGTTCGCAAATGATGCTTATCCGTAAGTTGACAGTGACAGAGCAACGTCAAAGTTTTTTCAGTCTTTGTGTCTTATTTTGACGCAGTACACACAAGCACATTTTCCACATGTCTGGCATACTTTGTTCCCATGTCTTTGAGTGTCTGTCTGCTGATTAACATCCGATTTGTGCTACAGAATGTTGTCTCTCAATCAGGCTTGCGCTGGCTGAATGTAACCAGGCCTGCCCACCATACATTATTTTTTCCATTGGAAAGTACATTTACATGACGTCCCTTGGCGCCATTTTTAGCAATGGAATTGCGAACCAACACCTCTACATAATAAATACATTTTACAGGGGAGAATACAGTAGGCCAAAAATCCCTGAAAAAAATCGGCAGCCACATTCACACTTTTGGCAGTAGAAATGTGGACAACTAATCACACACACGATAGCTGTGAATGAAGGTAACGACACAAATGGCATTGAGGGGCTAGCTTCATATATTTTTTTAATCAATTATTTTCTTTTAGTGGTTTTAGAAACCTTTTTTTTAACTTTTAAGTTTTCTGTTGTATTTATTTATTTATTTGTTTATTTGTTTATTTGTTGATTATAATACAGTATATATAAATGTAATTTGAGCCCTATCATTATTTCAAAAGTGTGTATCAAACTAGTTGCCATTCACACTAACCGGTAGCCAAGAAAGTAGCTCTTAGTTTTATAAAGGTTAATGGCCTCTGTGCTAGAGTGATCAGTATGTTGCCCTGTAACATGGTCCAAATGTCAAACAAGAATCTGGAACACGAGCATCCCTCAGGATGCGAATTTGACCACAAATGCTAGCTGTTGGCACTAGCTTTAGGTTACCTCGCTAACTGCTGTGCTAACTGTAACTTGAACATGAATCTGGAACCCAAACTTCCAAAGGCAATTGAGTGGACTGCTAATGCTAGCAAAAAACCGAGCAGAACAGCTAGTATATGACAAGCTGGCTAACCTACTCCTACCGCTACCTGTATAGCAGGTTAGCTTCTTCACACATTAAAACACGGTATCAAATCAAACAAAAATCTGGCACGCAAGCTCCGAAAGAATGTGGAGTTGGCAGCTAACAGTAGCTGATAACAAGCTTTAGGTTAGTTGCTAATAGGAAATGCAGTTTAGTCTGCTGCTTAAAAAGTCCAATTTTTTTTGCAAAGTGATGTTTTGAATTGAAAACTACATTTTTGGTCTGTTTCCCTTTTGGGGAAGTGAAGTTGTTGCAATTGGCCATTGCGCTGTGCTTAAACAAGTCTTTATTCTTTACAGCTCAAGTCGAGGGGAAAAATGTCGTCAGCTATCAGCAAAATCACAGATGTCATCATTTCATTGTTGTTTGGGTGTAGTCGCATGTCACAGTGCTTCCATTGCTTAACTGAACACAAGGTCAGAATTATTTTATCCAGCCATCTATCGATTTTCTGAACCGCTTGTTTTCACAAGAGTCACAGGGGTGCCAGTGCCCATCCCAGCCGTTTTTGGACAGTAGGCGGGGGACACCCAGAACTGGTTGCCAGCCAGTCGCGGGGTACACATAGACAAACAAACATTCACACTTACAATCACACCTGTACTATGAGATGGACGTGCTAACCCGTTGACCACTTTTTTCTGCCACTCTTTCTGGCTAATTTTAATGCAAGACGCCATTTTAGCAACAGATGTGATGTCAGGTTGTTGAGCCGGCCTTCGCTTGCACCCACCAGTTGGTACGTCATGATTACACCATTTCGTTAATGTTGTTGATAAAATGGAATACCTTAATTTGCCAAAAAAATTGTCATCAGATTCAGAATCCGGAAATGATAAAATACCTTTATAATGTCACCTTTTAGATTCCCATTAAGTCTGACTTCATGCAACTGTGTTTCAAATGTTGCTTGCCAATAGATATAAATTTGTCTTGTCTTTTTTTTCTCACGGAGAGATCCGAATAAGCCATTGTAGAAAATGTCTTTAAAAAAAAAAAATAGTCCAGTGACAGGGAAGCCGTGAGCGAGAGACCGTTGGCACCGCCTGCTTCCTCACCCAACAGCGAGTCATTCCTGAGATCCACCTGACTGGTGGTTGGATGGCCGTTAACATGGCATCAAAACTTAGATATTTCTTTCTTTCTTTCTTTTTTCTAATAAAAAGCATACAACCTGACCTGCGTCACTGACGGGGAGCTGATTTCCCTTGTCTGACACAGAGAGAGTATTGCTTCTCTATGTTGTTTTTGTCTTTCATGCATTTTAATGCCATTTAAGGCCTTAATTTTCACCAAATCAATAAATATTTGTTCATTATTTCAATTGCTTTGTTACGGTGCATCTGTCTGTTTAAGTGCTGAGGAAAAAGTGAGAGAGGTGTGTTTGAGCAAATCCCTTCATCATGCAAGAAGTTGAATAAAGAAGCAACCCCCCCACCCCCTGCCCCTTTCATCAGCAAAATGGGCATCCGTCAATTACGGATTGACGGACCTACTTGTTCTAGTTCTCTCTTGCGCTTTGTGATACTCCAACGGCCTGTACCACATTATCGACTGTGCACTGGCATGCACCAGATGCCTATCCCTTGCGAGGCGGTCTCATGAGTCGAGTGTTTGGCATAATAAAAGACGGGAGGAAGAATGAAGAGTGAGGAATGTAAACATAGGCAGCGTTTTGAAATTCATTCTGATGCCAGTCCTCGAGGGTGGGAGTGCATGCGTTTGGAGCCCAGGGTGCAACCTCCTTCGGCTTTCAGCAAGGAAAAGCAGCTTTATTGATATAGCACATTTCATTCTTCCAATGTTACGTTTGTGGGATTAAAAACAAAGATAAACATCTTTGTTGCTTTTATCACCATTAGGTGTGGCAGTGGCACCCGACTGAAAGCAGCTAAGCCTTGAAATGGAACTGGTCCTTTGACTCTACCTGGTGGCAAGTGTGAGAACTGTTTAAAATCGGGTTTAGATTGACTATTACGACTACACACACACACACACACACACACACACACACACACACACACACACACACACACATCTCTCTCTCTCTCTCTCTCTCTCTCTCTCTCTCTCTCTCTCTCTATCCATTTTCTGATCCGTTTATCCTCACAGATGTCGCGGGGGGGGGGGGTGCTGGAGCCTATCCCAGCTGCCTTCAGGCAATAGGCGGGGGACACCCTGAACTGGTTGCCAGCCAATCGCAGGGCACACATACAACCAATCGCGCTCACACTCACATTTATGGACAATTTAGAGTCTTCCATTAACCTGCCATGCATAGTTTTTGGAATGTGGGAGGAAACTGGAGTACCTGGAGAAAACCCACGCAGGCACGGGGAGAACATGCAAACTCCACACAGGAAAGCCGGAGCCGCACTTTGAGGCTGACGCGCTAACCAGTTGGCCACCAGGCCGCAGTGTGTGTGTGTGTGTGTGTGTGTGTGTGTGTGTGTGTGTGTGTGTGTGTGTGTGTGTGTGTGTGTGTGTGTAAAATTGTACTCGCAGAACTGCATTTTTTCTACTTCTGAGTTAAATGGCAGGTCATGCCAGGAAATACAGAAAAAAACCTACAACACGTAGGCTAATACAAGGTAAGGATAAAAAAGTGAATATTTTTTATTCTTGACACAAAATCAGAGTTTTCTTCCGACAATTTTAATCTCAATAAAATGACATCGAATATAACATGGGAACAATTAGAACATAAATTATGCTTAAATAGAGAAAATAAGTTCATCTCCATGTGATCATTTTGTCGGTCCGCATCTAAACCGTGTCAAAGTGCTTGTAATAAAAAAGGGAGAGACGCCAGTGCCACGCGTGTTTGCCATAACTCTCCCGGTGGGTGGGTTGCTGCTGCAGAAAAAGGCTTCCCTGTCTCCCCTGTGCGTCCGCCTAAAACACCCCCTGGCCGCCGGTGCTCGCCGGAACCAATTAGCATCCCCCTCCGGCAACACCGACCGGGATACGCTTTTTTTTTTAACCCCCGGAACCAGAGCACGCAAGCGAGCACGTCTCGGCATCGCCCCTCTCTCGGTGGGTGGACCGCGACTGAAGCGTCGGACGTATTCGGAGGGGAGCGAGTGAGTGCGGAATGGCCGAGCAACAACAGCAGCAACAACAGCAGGAGGAGGAGGAGGAGGGGATGAAGTCGCCCGACACGCCGGTGCCAGGTGGTTCGCCGACTGGGAAAGCGCTGTCCCTGGCCCGTCTGCTGCAATACGAATGCTCCCGCTTGCTCCAGTTATACGTGAGTCTCGCTCATGTTAACATCCAGCGCATCATATCCACCTGTAGTCCGTAGAGTGACGTCATTGTAATACGCTGTTTTGATACGGTTCATTTTACGGTACGTTCCTTCTTCGAATTACAACCGTGGGTGGCAGCGTTCAACTGCAGTGCATCACAAGTCGGAAAGCAAATGATGTTGGTACATCTCACCCATAAAAAAACCCAATTTATTTGGAGGACTCAGTTTGTGTTGCCTGGGTTCCGAGAATTGATTTGGGGCTTCGTAAAATATCTCCCAAAAAATGTTTTGAGTTCAAATGTATTTTTGTGTGTTTGCAGTTGCGTTTTTTTTATTTGAATGGAAGTGTTAATTTTTTTTTTTGTAATTATTTTTATCCACATTCTTTTATTTTATTTTATATTTTTCATATTCATATCTATAATTTGGGGGAGAAAACGAATGGGGTGTATTAAATATTTATTCATATTTATATATATATATATATTTTTTTTGTCTGTGCATTTTCTTTAAAATTACGTAGTTTTATTTAATTTCCTAGACAATGTTATATTTGGCCTGTACGGTATAAAAACTTAAAGGGGAAGTCAACTCCCAAATTTTCAACTTTGCAAATATGTTACATGTGCCCCCAGTCATCTAAATGCGGCATTCTGATTAATATTAATATAATCTGCCTGTTTTCTGAGTTATGTCATGTGGCATTCGCAAGCAGAACCGTGATTGGTTTTTACCTGAACGGCAATTCTACACTGCGAATCATTGTTGTCATTGCGTGTTGGCCGAGCACGGCCGTGAAATCGCTCTCGCAGGCCCTACGTGTCCTATGCACACTAGGATGCAGACAGTAATCATACTAAAAGCAAACCGCCACCCATTTCCCCACTCTCGTCTCCAGCCTCCCTAATGGATTTTATATTTTTGTGCCTGGCCTTCTTTGACACAATCCATCTAATAATCAATACGACTGTGAAATCACAACCGCTTCCAGATGGAGCAGGAGACCTTCTTGTCAGAGCAGCCCCCAAAGGGCAGTCGTATGGTGTCCCTGAGCCCAAGCGCTGAGCAGCCGGATCCGGAGGAGGCGGTGCGGCGGCTGCACGCCGCCCTGCGCCAGTGCCTGGGCCTGCTGCACAGTGCCATCGCCCGGGCCGAGGAGGAGTGGGGCTCGTTGGAGGGTGACTACGAGACCCTGCGCCACACCGTCCGAATGCGACTGGAGCATTTACTTCACACGACAAAAAATCTCCTGCAGACGGACGACGCCACGCTGGAAGTCACCCCAGACATCCGGTGTGATGAGGTACAGCCTTTCCACGCGCATAAATCGGACATTGAATAAGTTCTCCTCGGCAGTGTTTTGTGGCAGTTTGACACATCAGCAATTCATCATCTGCGTCAGAAAGAAAGATCTTTGTTCTCAGTTTTTATCTTTCAGTTAAAAATATACAACAGCCCTAATTGTGACAACTGTAATAATGACAGCACAATTATAAATGTAACATCTGCATACTTTTTAGAATCGTATTTAATGCAGTTTTCCATCCCACAATACAATACTTTTGATGGATAATCACAAAGAATTCAACATTGTTTATTTTTATTGGAGTCTACTATCGCACAACATTACGTGTAGTCGAATGAGATCCAATGCAACAGTTGTTCGACCCACAGCATTGTCGAATGACCGCCCACAACATTATGATCAGAGTCATAATGGACCTTTTGAGTGGAAGAATTGTCAGAATTTTACACATTGTATATTTGTCATATTACCAAAGCAAGCAGATACAAAATGTTACATCGACTCTCTCGGCTCTCTTGTGGCTAGGAAACTGACGGCGGGGGCGGGGGGGCTTTCCAGCTCAAAATATGGACGCATCGCGTGCTGCTGGAGCTGGTCCACTGGGCCGACCACGCCACGCAGGCTCTACACGTTCTCCACACGCAGCGGGAAGGAACGCAAGATGTCTAAAGCGGCAAATGAACTCACTCCATGCTAACCACTGGCATCCCATCATTAATACGGAATTGGACAGTGGCGGTTCCTTTATACACCACAACTTCACAACTTGTTTTTCTTCCTATCCAGCATAGTAAATGCTCTATTCTGGTTGGCACTTGCCATTCAAGTAATAATCTTATTCTTAATCAAATTTAATACATTTGTTCAAACCACAGCATTCTAGTCAGACCACCTGAAATTGATTATAATGCACCACGAGTGGTTAGAATTGAACACCTTATTTTTTTTTTTTGGTTTACTTTCAATCTTGTTGAATATATTGTTGGGTTCCACAATGTCATTGGAGCTGGTGTATAAAAGGCCAACTCAACAGTCACTGTCCAAATCCTGTGGAACAACACACTGCTTCACTAACAGCTAAGCTCTTTTAATGAGGCCCGGCTTTGCCCTGGCGGTATTTCCTCTGCGAGTGCTAAAATGACCTCCAGTTGACCACCATTTGCTGTGAGGCCCGTGTGCAGTGACCCACTTTCCAAGTATCCTGTGTGTAATTTATTCTATTTATTAGAACATATTTAATATTCTAACAAACTAACTGCTAGAAGTAGCCAAAAATACCTGACTGACTGACAAACTGTGACTGTTTTATTTCTTTTTGTTTTTCCCCTCTCGATGATTCCAAAAAGGATGGTCTTTATTGTTTGTATGATTTGCTCCTGATGTTCTACTTGAATGTGCTGCTGCTACACTGTTGGATCCACCAGATGTTTCCCAACCTCAGGGGTCGGGGACCCAAAATGAGTGCGGATCAATTTTGTTTAGGGTCACGAGAAATAAATCACATTTAAACATCTTAAGATGGTGTTCTTGTTGACATTTTGGGAAAACAAATAATCTTGTTGCAAAAACACATTCACATTTTTTTCAGAGGGAAACAAATCATGAGACTTACCGGTAAATCATATTTTTCAAGAAAACATATTCCTATTACAAGTGGTCATGCTTTTTTTTTGAAGTAAAAAGGTCATATTCATATTACAAGAGTTGCATTTTTATTAGCAGAAAATGTGTATTATCAAAATAAAATTTTGTTCAAAGGGGGTCATAAGATGATGATCAAGGAATATTCTTATGAGAATATTTTTTTTATGTTACAGGAATTATTCAGAATTTTGTATTTCAGGAAAATTGTCTTTTTTTTCTTTTTTTGGGACATGTTAGTGAATAACGTTGAACTTTTTGCTGAAAACTGTCATATTAGAAGTGTTAAGTTGAACTTTTGGGTGAAAGTTATAATGTTACAACAATTAGTCTTGTTATAGAGAGAGAGAAGTGATAGAAGATCAAAGTTGCATTTTTCATTTAAAAAAATAGTCGCTCTGTTTCATCAAAACAAAGAAATTACAGGTATTTCAGACTTTAAAATCAAGTTTTTATTTGTTTACACAAACGAAATTACACGAAAAAAGGACAGTTTCAATAGATATCGTCCTGTTACGATAATAATGAAAAAAATAGTAACGATTTTTTTAATTCCAAATATATTTAGTGTAATACAAAGACAATTATTTTCAGATTTGTACAAGTGTAACGGAGTGATATATTCAGTTTATTGTGACCCCCGTCACACAAGCATGAATTGAAATCCCTTTTCTGCGTTGCGAAAGTGCCCTCTGGTGGGTATGAAACGGACGGCGGGGGCGGGGGGGCTTTCCAGCTCAAAATATGGACGCATCGCGTGCTGCTGGAGCTGGTCCACTGGGCCGACCACGCCACGCAGGCTCTACACGTTCTCCACACGCAGCGGGAAGGAACGCAAGATGTCTAAAGCGGCAAATGAACTCACTCCATGCTAACCACTGGCATCCCATCATTAATACGGAATTGGACAGTGGCGGTTCCTTTATACACCACAACTTCACAACTTGTTTTTCTTCCTATCCAGCATAGTAAATGCTCTATTCTGGTTGGCACTTGCCATTCAAGTAATAATCTTATTCTTAATCAAATTTAATACATTTGTTCAAACCACAGCATTCTAGTCAGACCACCTGAAATTGATTATAATGCACCACGAGTGGTTAGAATTGAACACCTTATTTTTTTTTTTTGGTTTACTTTCAATCTTGTTGAATATATTGTTGGGTTCCACAATGTCATTGGAGCTGGTGTATAAAAGGCCAACTCAACAGTCACTGTCCAAATCCTGTGGAACAACACACTGCTTCACTAACAGCTAAGCTCTTTTAATGAGGCCCGGCTTTGCCCTGGCGGTATTTCCTCTGCGAGTGCTAAAATGACCTCCAGTTGACCACCATTTGCTGTGAGGCCCGTGTGCAGTGACCCACTTTCCAAGTATCCTGTGTGTAATTTATTCTATTTATTAGAACATATTTAATATTCTAACAAACTAACTGCTAGAAGTAGCCAAAAATACCTGACTGACTGACAAACTGTGACTGTTTTATTTCTTTTTGTTTTTCCCCTCTCGATGATTCCAAAAAGGATGGACTTTATTGTTTGTATGATTTGCTCCTGATGTTCTACTTGAATGTGCTGCTGCTACACTGTTGGATCCACCAGATGTTTCCCAACCTCAGGGGTCGGGGACCCAAAATGAGTGCGGATCAATTTTGTTTAGGGTCACGAGAAATAAATCACATTTAAACATCTTAAGATGGTGTTCTTGTTGACATTTTGGGAAAACAAATAATCTTGTTGCAAAAACACATTCACATTTTTTTCAGAGGGAAACAAATCATGAGACTTACCGGTAAATCATATTTTTCAAGAAAACATATTCCTATTACAAGTGGTCATGCTTTTTTTTTGAAGTAAAAAGGTCATATTCATATTACAAGAGTTGCATTTTTATTAGCAGAAAATGTGTATTATCAAAATAAAATTTTGTTCAAAGGGGGTCATAAGATGATGATCAAGGAATATTCTTATGAGAATATTTTTTTTATGTTACAGGAATTATTCAGAATTTTGTATTTCAGGAAAATTGTCTTTTTTTTCTTTTTTTGGGACATGTTAGTGAATAACGTTGAACTTTTTGCTGAAAACTGTCATATTAGAAGTGTTAAGTTGAACTTTTGGGTGAAAGTTATAATGTTACAACAATTAGTCTTGTTATAGAGAGAGAGAAGTGATAGAAGATCAAAGTTGCATTTTTCATTTAAAAAAATAGTCGCTCTGTTTCATCAAAACAAAGAAATTACAGGTATTTCAGACTTTAAAATCAAGTTTTTATTTGTTTACACAAACGAAATTACACGAAAAAAGGACAGTTTCAATAGATATCGTCCTGTTACGATAATAATGAAAAAAATAGTAACGATTTTTTTAATTCCAAATATATTTAGTGTAATACAAAGACAATTATTTTCAGATTTGTACAAGTGTAACGGAGTGATATATTCAGTTTATTGTGACCCCCGTCACACAAGCATGAATTGAAATCCCTTTTCTGCGTTGCGAAAGTGCCCCATCTGAACAGCACGAGCACGCCCCTCTTCTCTAAAGGATGTTGTGCGCATGCCTAGTTGAGCACAGCAGTCAGGAGGAAGCGCGTCTACCGACTGGAGGGAAGCACTGGCTGGCAGTCCTAATGGCGGAGAATGTACGCTCGCCTTTCGACTACCGCGAGCCACCGACACTCGACAGCGACGGGGACGGCAGCAAACCGCCACCGCCGCGCGGGTGAGTGACCGCGTTCGGGCCTGCTTTTTTTTGCTCCATTCCCCCTCCTATTTACAGGGCTTTGTTAGCTTGGCTCTATTTCGACTCTAGGCAGGCGCGCGTTATCAGCCCCCCGCCCCAGACTCCCCACCCCCTTCTCCTACTCATGTGGGATTTTTGTGAGAAAAGCGAATATTTTTTGGTGTTTTTGGTCCGTTCGTGAGTCGCGGTGGTGCCGTGCAGCTCGCAGGTGTCGCCCGCTCCCTCTTTTCGGTCACAGTGTGGCCCGTCCGGCCGGGTTAGTCGTGATGTTTTGACGCGGCGGGTAAGCTAACTGGTTAGCCGCGGCGTTAGCATCGAGAGCCCACTGGGGAACATCAGATGGACTCAGGCTGGATTCAAGCTGATCTCAGATCAGATGGAATTGTGGCCCAGGCCCAAGCCCCCTCCATCATAATTATCATCATCTTTGCAACATCAAAACATCATCATCATAAACATGCAAAAAGTCGTCGCGAAAGCATGTGTACAATTGGGAAACGTTAACTTCAGATTGAACCCATTCAGTGTTTAACCCCACGGTGAGGTCGCAGGTCATGTTGACCCACGTTGCTATTTGTCTTAAACTCGTTCAGAGATTAAAGTCTTTTTTTAATGTCATATCACAAGGTTAGATCTATGCTCAACAAAAATGAGTAAGTCATATTTGTTCTTGATAATAAAAAAAATGTAACAAAGGCAGGCTTTTTTTTCAAGATGAACTAGTAATATATTTCATGGTAATAGTTTTTTTTAAATAGTGAAAATGTGATATTTAAAAAAAATAAATAAAAAGTTGGAAAATGACCATTTTTATTTGGGGGGGGGCAGTCAGATTTGTTTCCATTGGCAATATAAGAAAAACGTTTTTACGTTTTAAAACAGCCCAAAGCAGAAAATAGCCCATTGAGATTAAAATGTTCAACGGGCTTCTGAATGAGAGGCATCAACAAGCTTACAGACTTTTTGTAGTATATGTACTCCATGCATAATGAGCAGAGGACTGGTAAACAAAAGCTCTTCTACCCAACTCCATACAAGCATAGGAAACTGAAAGCAACAAATAATTTTTTTCAGAGTAATTAAGGCAAAAACATAAGAAGACAGTCGTCCCAATATTGCTTTAGAAATAAAAGTGCACCAGTGACTGATCCCACAAGTGGCCAGAGCAGACAATCATCCTCAAAAGTAGTGAGTGGACATCTTAAAGCGCGCTAAACGGTATCAATCATCCCAAGACATTTTATAGCAGAATTGAAAGTCATTTATTTTCCAAAAAATAAGTTGTATATTAGTGAAGAAATCACGGCAGTTTTGGTTTTTTCAGCCGTGTTTGCGGGAGGAAGCGCAAGGGGACGCCGGTGAAGGTGTGTGACCGAGCCTATGTGACGGAAGATGAGGAGGAGGAGAGCATGTCTGAGCACAGCTATAGTCCTGGTCAGTATATGCATGCATGCACGCACACACACACACACACACACACACACACACACACACACACACACACACACACACACACACACACACACACACACACACAGACGCACACACGCACACTTTGTGTGAATAGTGCTAAAGGTCAGATGTTGTCCATTCAGGTGAGAGCCAATATCCAGAGGGCACCGAGGATGGCCTCCCACCACCGGGGAGTCCTTACTACCTAACAGACCCAGCTCAGCTCTGGTAAGGAGGACCCGTTCCCATGGTAACTACGCAGACTCCGCCTCCCTCATATCCGAGGTCTACCGAATACTCACGGTTTTGTTTTGGTTTTGTTTGGCCAGCGTACCGGAGCTGGGCGAAGAAGGGGCGGGCGGCGTCCGGGGACCCGTGCTCTTCCACCCGCCGCCGAATTGCCGCATTCGCGAGGTGCACTGTGGCACTCAAGTGCGACTGGTAGTCATAGCGATCCGAGACATAGCCAAAGGGGAAGAGATCACGGTGGACTACAGCCTTACGGACTGGGGCGAGAATGCCATGGTGAGAAATAGCCCCTTTCATAATAACATTTAGGTTGGGGACGGTGCCTCATAAATGAAATCATTTATTTGTATTAGAACATATTTCGCAATCTGTGGCAGCACTCTGTTTTTAATGAGGATTGCCTGTTTACAAACTTTGATCATGCTAATAG